TAGCGAGTCTCGGCATCCGTCAGCGTATGACTGACGAAGTAGATCGGTTGCTGACTCTTACTCTCTTCGTTCAGCAATACTGCGCTGATGGTGGCTGGGCTAACGGCCACATATAGGTACAAAGTTTCTCCTTCAGCTGGGCTAGCCAGCGTTGGGAGCTGAGCCAGATGCTCCCGAAGCTGTTTAAAGGCGTCTTTTTGCTCTTCCCCCCAAACGAGCTCTTTTGTTTTCGGGAGTTTCAGGGCTTTGAAGAAAGGTAACCCCTTATCCGAAGCTCTGGAAATGAACCTCGAGAGGGCTGCCATTCTTCCGGTGAGCCGCTGAACATCCCGCTTCGTTTTCGGCTCAGGAAGGTCGAGCGCCGCTTTGACTTTAGAGGGATTGGCATCAATCCCCCTTTTGCTGACCATGAACCCCAGGAATTTCCCTGACTTCACGCCGAAGACACACTTCTTCGGATTCAGCTTCATTTGATGCTTTCTCAAGGTGGCGAAAGTTTCAGCCAGGTCCTTTACACGGTCCTCTAGTTTTTTGCTTTTGACGATCGAATCGTCAACATAGACTTCCATGTTTCGGCCCTTTTGATCGGCGAAAACTTGATCCACCAGCCTTTGATAGGTTGCCCCCGCATTTTTCAATCCGAAGGGCATCATTTTGTAATTGTACACCCCAGCGTTCGTGACGAATGCTGTCTTGGCTCGATCGTCGGGGTGCATAAAGATCTGATGATACCCCGAGAATGCGTCCATGAAGCTAAGCAAGGCATGGCCACTTGTCGAATCGACTAGCTGATCGATTCTCGGCAAGGGATAGAAATCCTTTGGACAAGCCTTAATTAGGTCCGTGAAGTCAACGCACATCCTCCAGGTACCATTGGGCTTCTGAACCATCACCACATTTGCCAACCATTCTGGATATTGGCAAGGTTCAATGAATCCTGCCTCCAATAATTTTTTGACCTCGGCTGCGATGTCTCGGTTCTTATTGGCGGAGTAATTCCGCTTCTTTTGCTTAACTGGTCGACACGTCGGGTCAACATTAAGCTTATGGGAGATGAGGTCTGAACTTATCCCGGGCATATCAGCTGCCGAGAAAGCAAACACATCTCTGTTGTCCCGAAGGAGCTGAATAAGTTCACAACGGGTGTTCGGATCAAGGTCCATCCCAATTGCTACACATTTCTCACCGTCTCCTTCGGCCAACTGAACTGTTTCAGTCTGTTGGTCCATGTCCATTGCCGATGGACTGGACTCTTCAGAATCTGGCCTGCTGCCAATGTCAGCAGGTGTCCCAGTCTTTGTGTTCTTCGGCTGGCTCTCTGAGTCTTGCGGCTCAGCTGAAGAGCTAGCCTTTTCCCTTTCGGGCCCTTTATCTCTGGGCACAGATCCTTGGGCCGAAGCACTTAGGCCTTTCGGCTTTTTTGTGCTTGGCTCTCTTTCTTTTTCTTTCTCCTCCTCATCCTTGTCGTCATCTGGGCGACTACTGGATGGCTTGAGGTAGTTGCACCTTCGGGCGTCCTTTTGGTTGCCCTGTATCCTTTCGGGGAAGCCGGCGTCTGAGACGTAAATCATCAGCTGATGATAAGTTGAGACGACCCCTTGGATCTCGTGAATTATGGGTCTCCCCAAAATCACGTTGTACACTGAAGGAGCGTCGATGACCAAAAATTCAATCATGACGTTCCGGGCTGCCTCATCGCAACCGATGGTGACAGGAAGTGTCACCTTCCCATCTGGATAAGTTGAAGCCCCATTGAACCCGGATACCGGATAGGGTACCGGCGTAAGGTGCTTGGGCTTCAGCTTAATTTGATTGTAGGCCTTTCGGAACAGAATGTTTGCTCCACTGCCACCGTCAACAAGGACCTTACTGACGTCGTGGTTGGCCACCGTGGTGATGATAACCAACGGATCCTCGTGAGGGAACGTAATCCCCCGGCAGTCGGCGGCTGTGAACGTCATGTTCGGCACCGGCGACTGGGGAGATTGAATGTCAGCGTTGTTCACCTGGTGAGTCAAAGCTCTAAGGTGGCGCTTGTGCTCCCTCCGAGAGTATATTCCTCCCGAAATAACATTGATCGGAGGGAATTTCCCCTCCGGCTTTTTACTGTTTTTCCGGGGGAAATCAAGGTCCTGCCGAGGGTCCTTTGCTGACCTCTCAGATTCTTTTTTCTCGCGGTGATCCGCGATGTATTTTTTCAAGTATCCCTTCCGGACCATGTCCTCTATCTGGTCCTTCAGTTGGATACACTCCTCAGTGTTGTGGCCCGAAGACTCGTGGAACTCACACCACTGATTTTTATTTTTTCGCTGATACCACTCTGGGAGTGGTCTCGGCTTTCGGTAACTCTGCTCCTCCTTCGTCACACTGTAAATTTTGGCGCGTGGAAGAGAGAGCGGAGTGTAGGACTCGTATCTGCCTGTGTATGAGGCAAATCTTTCCTTCTTCGGGTCGTTGGCCAAAGATTGCTCCGGGGCCTTTGACTTTCCCTTTGCCTTATGGCCTTGGCCTTCAGACAAGGGTATTTGCCTCTGTTTCCCTCCCCCGGATTGAGGTTGGGTTTTCGCTTTGTTCCATTCTTCGGCTCGGATGAACTTATCCGAAGCACTAAGAGCTTCCTCCAAAGTCTGCGGGGTATGCATGACCATGAAGTCTAGGAACTTTCCTGGCTGAAGGCCATTCTGCATTGCGAAAACGGCTAGCCCCTGGTCCAGCTGGGAGACGCTTGATGACTCGTTACTGAAACGGGTCAGGTAGTCTCGGAGGCCTTCGGTTTCCCCCTGTTGCAGACTCATGAGCTCTGCGGTAGTCTTCTCTCGGCGGTTTGCCGTGGAAAACTTGCTCCTGAACTTGGAGGACAGATCATCCCACCCTGTTACGGAGCCTTGCCTTACTCCCTTGGAGATCCACGCTTGCGCGACCCCCTTGAGAGTGGTAGGGAAATATTTGCACCAAGTCGCCTCGGATCTGGGGCAAAGATGCATATGAGTCTCATACGAGGCCACGTGGTCCTTCGGATCCGTGGTCCCGTCATATGTGATGTGCGAAGGGATTTTAACCGTGGGTACGCGCTCTTCCAGTATCCATTGCTCGAATGGTGAACTAGCGGGTAGCATAACGGCCTTGCCCTTGTTCCTGGCCGAAGGGACCGCGCTCCGCCCTCTTAGAGAGGTAGGAGTGGTTTTCGTCCCTGGCTGGGAAGTCTGGGCCTCGGCTGCAGGGAACGAGAGGCGACTACGCACGCTCGGTTCCTGGCCGCCGAGTCGGTCAAGGACGCTTCTGCGAACAGTCTCAGGTTCTCGGTGAGTAGATTCTGGCCGAGAAGCTGAGCTGCTGCTCTTATGCGCTTCTGGTCTTGAGGATGAGGATCCTTTTAAACATAGAGGGTTCTTTTTCCTCTGTTTTTCATTTTTCCAAGAATCCTCCTCCCACTCTTCCAGTTCCCGGAAGGAAGGAAGCTTCCCACCATCATGGTCTAACTTCCTCCGCTGATGCCGGGTATGCGGAGGAGTTCGATCACGAGGTGGTGGCATATTTTGTGCCCTCATCGCCTCCATGAGTACTGCCAGCGCTCTTGCCACCTCTTCCGAACTGGGCCCCGTCAAAGGGGTCCTCGGCCGAGTGTGGGAATGAGGCCGCGCAGCCGATGGTTGGCTTTGGGACACTGAATATGTCCTATGATCGGACTGACCCCTGCTAGACCGAGAGTGGCCCGGCCTATATTGAGAGTCATGAATTACGGGAGATAGGGAATCCTCCTTGTATGACCCTCCCCCCGAGCCGGCACCCTTGGGAGAGTTCCGGTCCGGCGAGGGCGATGGTGTAGGGGTTTTAGGCTTTTCGCCCGCTCCTTGACGGAGGCTTTTGCTCTTGCGGTTCTTAGCCATTGCTGCTAAGATAATTGCAAGATGATCTTGGTTAGGAATTTGGCTTAAAGATTTTTGAAAGTCTTCCCCACAGACGGCGCCAAATTGTTTCGGGTGAAAACAATGGGACCTTGCCGAAGGTCCGCTGAAATGGAGAAGGCTGGATTCGGTCCAAGTTATGCTGGGCCGAGTATTTCCTGCACAGTAAACACACGTAAACTAGCCTCGGGGGTGTTGCCGAGGAAGGCCCCTCCGATGCTAAAGTCAGTACAATGTGTAAGAAGAAGACACTATGCAAGAGAGTTTGTTGCTTGAGGCTTTTGTGGAATATCTCAGAATATATGAATGAACATATGAATCTATGAATGAATCAGAATCTGAATCTCCCCTTGAATGTATCAATATGATGGCTTTTATACCTCATCATACATAGAGAGGTTGGGCCTTAGCCCAATTGGCTTGCTTTGTGGGCTGACCTTTGACTTTAGCACAATTGGAGAGTTGAACCTTGACCTTGGGCTTTTAATTGGATCATTTAGTGCTTAGGCCCAATTGGACTAAATTGGACCCAAACATCTCCTATTCGTATTTTTCAAAGTATTTTATTTGTCGTATACTAGTACTTCATATTTAAAAACCCCTCGAAGTTCACTTGAAATAATAACACTTGGAGATTAATTTAGTTTACAAAATAGTTTTATTTTATGAGTCACACTAAGAATATTCTAAAAGTTCTCTACAAAAATTACATCATTATGAAACAATCTACAATGAAGGTACGACAAATCGTTTTATGATTTTTTTTTTGGTACCTTCACTTTAACAATAATCCAAAACATATGGTTAATAATAACAATAAAAATATGTTTTTTTTTTTTAAAAAAAAAAAAATGTTTAATAATAGTAATAATAATAATGTTCAATTTTGTTATGGAGTTGTCAAATTTATGAAGGTACTAAAATAGTATTTTTATTAGAGAGCACCTCATTCAACATTGAGCGCTCGTGGCCTAATGGATAAGGCATTTGACTTCTAATCAAAGGATTGTGGGTTCGAGTCCCACCGAGCGTGTCAACATTTTTTTTTTAATTTATATATATATAACTTATGCATGTGTATAAAGCACCAGGAAGTAATGTATCAGGACAAATTACAAGTAAATAGTCCATAAAAATAGAATTTTAACTTCCATACAAGATACAAATGTTTAAATATGATTATGAAGTATGAACTAAAGAAGGTCTAACAACAAGCTAGCTCTTGGATGAAGGCCAGCATCCTTTAAAGTCATGCCCAACTGATCAGCACCATAAACTTTTCTAGGGAAGCTTGATATTAATCTGTAATTTTCGATTCCGGGTAAACCCAGTGAATCTATGTAGTAGTAAATTGCTTGCACCTTGTCTGTTGCTGCAAAACTGTGCTCTCTTCGTTCACCATTCGGAAATCTTATTAATATCTACAAAAAACCAACGACATTAGGCAATAACTTAGCAAGCACTTAGTATGTGAAACAAATGTTTGTATTCCAGAATTTATAAACATAATACTAGTATTAAAAGTCTACAACTTTCATATATCAGTTAATCAGTATTTGTACTCAAAAGTACTTGCACAATTAGTCAATTATAGTGTAGTTTTTCAAGAAGTAAAGACAACAATAATTTACTGATGAAGTACTCTAGTACTAATTAACTAAACACCAAACAGAACTAACGAATAAATCGGTCTGGGAACAGGGCGATTTCTCTTGAACTACAGTCAAGACACTTAACAAAAAAGATCATCTAAGAGAGTCTTAGATGAAACTGCCTCACACTACATTATCGTGAGATATTAAAAGATACACTTTGGTTTAACAATGCGGATACTAGACTTTTCCGTATAATTACAAAGAATGATACTCATTATAGTTCCAAAAAATCTCTGATAAAAAAATTACTGCTTTACTGATATAAATAGTCATTTGTCCCAAAAGAGCTGAGATTTGAGAAAAGAAACAAATTACCTGAGTATTATTTGTTTTACTGGCCCTATTCTTGTGCAGATTTCCTTTATTTGCTGCAGCTGATTCTTTGACATGACTAGCCTTGTTCCGTATGTTAGATGGTTGTATTGTTGTTTCTGGTTTTTGAACTTTATTTTCTGCAGGTATATTCTTCAGCTTCTCCCTCTCCTAATTTTATTTTAAAAGAAGAATAATCAATAAAGAATATTTTTTTTTTTGGTTAGCTTTTGAATTTGAAAATTTGATCACCATTCATCAAGGAATTGTATTCTTGTGAATGTGAAAAGAATAAAAACCTGGTCTAATTTGAGAGCAGCAAAATATGCAGCATCTTGTTCTTCTCTTAACCGACGATCCGCAATTCTTTTGTTTTCCTCTATAGCTCTTGCATTGCCTAAGGCAACTCCTTGTTCTTCCAATGTCCTCTGTAATATTTCTAGTAGTTCTGCTGGGGAAACTGGTCCTTCAATCTGAACATTTTTTAACATGAAACAGAATAAAAAGGGGATTAATAATTTAATTTGTTCATACCTTATCTTAAACATAAGGACTACATTCTTCTCAAATAATTAATTGCAGTGATTTGTTTGTTAAATCAATCTAGTATGGTTAACATAAAGAATTTACCAAATCTCTAGCAATTAATATTGTCAGTAACAGATGTACCAAGGAGTTTAAAGAAATGGAAATTTCCCACAAATTAAAGACTTCCTTTTAATGTAATTAAAGTTCACATAATATCAATCAAGCATCAATAACAAGAAGGTGCCTAAGTGAATCTAATTCCAAAACCAGGTACCCGGATTTTTTGCTCACCCCAAGGTAAGATAGATCAAGTACATCTACCCATGAATTCCAATAAATATACTCATTAACATTAATACAATTAAGTTTAATATTCACCAAAGAAGATAATAAAAAAGAATTTAACACAGGTATTATTCAAAGTTTCAAACAACAGTACGGAGTACTTCACCAATAATTATAGCACCCTGCCTAATTTCATATCTTCACTCTCAAGATGAAAGATAATTTAATTTACAGATCATAGGTTATAAAAATGGTGGGCATGTGCAACAACCTCCACCCAATTCTTCTATGATTATTTTTTTTTTTCTTTTAAGTTTTGGGAAAGGGGGACCAAAAAATTATACAAGTATTAAATTTAACAAAACTGTATAAACTCTAACCTGTTGCAGCACAGAAATATTATCACCAGAAGCAGGAGCAATAACAGCAGAAAATGGAAAGCTAGCAGGCCTTAAAATCCCACTCATCTGCAAACCCTCACCTCTATCAGCAATGGCACCCCAACTAACAAAATTAGCATCAAGAAACTGAACTATAATCTCTGAACACAAAGTCTGACTGCAGAACTCTGCTGTAAAAGGATGATCAGGAGAATGTAAATACAAGAACATAAATTTTTTCTCATCTTGGGCAATCTTTAATGCTTGAATGAAACTACAAGCATAAAAGAATGGATGTGTAACTCCATAATTCTGCTCAAAACTATTCAAAAAGGCCCATTCATCATTTATCAACGCGGTTCCGGGGTCATACTGGGGTGGATATGATGGGAATTGAGGTGGTGGTAGAAATGGTGGCGGAGGTGGTGCAGGAAGGAGAACTTGATTTCTTCTTTCTCTAGCCATTACATCGATACCATGTCCCATTGCCCTTGAAAACCCTCCCAAAATATTTCTTGGCAGATTTATCATCCTTCTCACTATCCTACTATAGTTGGGAAAGTCTCCTGATCTTGTTCTTGAATTTTCTCTCGAATTAGAAGACGACATTTTTCGATTTTCAGATCTTAGAGTTGGTATAGTAGAAATGTAAATTAGTTCCCAAGGACAAAATTTCTGGGTATGATAAATCACAAGGAAAAAAGAAAAAAGAGATGAACTGCTTATTGTTCGAATGTTTTTATGTCAAAATCAACTTTGGATTCCTTCATTCATGTTTGTTTACAGCTAAACAAGATAAGGTAAAAATTCCAAAATTTGTGCTACTGATTTTCTATCCCAAATTGAGTTTTCACAAGATTTTGCTTTACTTTTGGTAGCATCTTAGGTGTGGGGTAAATAAGATTTAGTTATCAACTTTCAGAACTAGTTTCATTAGAAGATTAGTGTGAACATTGCACAAAGTTTAATGGGATTTTTATTTTAATCTTGATTCATTTGCTAGTCCCTTTCTTCGCCATTCCCAAGTAAGTTATGTTTAAACCAGAAGTTCTATGACATAACTTCTTATCTTAAATTAGCCTCAGTTTTTCTGCAAAATATGTTACTTCTGCGTTACTGTTGTTGTTCAAGGAACAAAAAATAGGAGGGAATAATTACTTAGTAATGCATATTAAGTAACTAGAAAGTAATGCATATTAAGTAAAATTTTCACTAAAGATCAATTTCTCAGTTAATACTCCGTAATACTAGATTGGCAAGATGATCATACATGTATGCAATGGACGACGAGAAAAAAATTGAGTTCTAATGTAATTCATACTTTGTACTACGTATATCTTTTGGCTTAATAGAAGGTGCAAAGACCGACAATAATTAACATATTTTGAACATAGTTTTCAAGTATATGTACAACAACTAATATTGTTGAACATGTTAAGATGATGAATACTTGGGAACGTAAACAACATGGTTGGCAAATATTATAAACATTTAGCATATAGGATTAGCACTGTCAAAAACCGAACCGAACTGGTGAAACCGAACCGTTTCAACCGATCCGAATGAGAACCGAACCGATTAAAAACCGATTTTATGAAACCGAAAACCGACCCGAACCGCATGTTAGTAAAACCGAAACCGAACCGATCCGAGTAAACGTTAAACCGTTTAAGAACCGAACCAAATCTAAACCGAACCGTTTCTAACCCGAAACCGTTTAAACTGGCATAAAAACCGTTTAAACTGGCATAAAAACCGTTTACACCGAATCGTTAACAAACTGCAACCCGTTTGCACCGAACCATTTATAAACCGAACTAATTATAAACCAAACCGCTTATAAACCGAACCGTTTATGAACCGAATCGCTTATAATTCGAACCGTTTACAAACCACTTCCTACTAGGAGTATTTTGAACGACTCGATAAAAATCCGATTTTTTTAAATAAAAAACAGACCCGAACCGTAATTTAGTAAACCTAAAATAAAACTGATCCAAATAATGTTAAATCGTAGAAGAATCGAACTCGTTAACAAACCAAACCAGTTATAAATCGAACTAAAATAAAACTGAACTAAAAAAAAAACCGAACCGTTTCTAACCGGGAGAAAAACCATTAACAAACCGCAACCCGTCTGCACCGAACCGTTTACTACCCGGACCGTTTACAACCCGAACCGAATTTAAACCGGGATAAAAACCGTTTACACCGAACCGTTAACAAGCCCAACCCGTTTGCACCGAACCGTTTACTACCCGAACCGAATTTAAACCGTTCAAGAATAAACCGAAACCGAATCGAACCGATAATTATTTAAACCGAACTGAAACCGACCCGTAAGACTTTTGAACCGATTTCAAACCGACCCGATTTTAAACCGAACCGAAACCCAACTGTCAAACCGTTTTGACAGTACTATATAGGATGAATGATTTGATCCAAACTAGAATCTAAAGTGAATGCAGCTTTGCAAAACTTTTGACCTTCACAACCAAGAGAATCTCCTGTAATTACTAACAGAAATCAAATAAATTAATTTCTCTAGTTTTGTCTTCTTCACTAGAATTTCCTTAGCAGCTAGTTCATGCTTTGAAGGCAAATTCCTTTTAGTGGAACTTTATGTAAAGTTAAGCAGTCAGCCCCCAGCTTTTCTTCTTAAAGAAAGGTACAGAGAAAATAATAATTTTAATAAAACCCATTATTGGTTATATCACATGGCTTCACACCCAAAATCCAATGAACTATCTCCATCTTCACTCATACAATGATATCAGAAGGATAGTGATCATACATCTAACAAGTTTTTTCTTATTTCTAATACTCGTACTAAACCAATGCATAATTAGATCAGCTGATATAGGAATTATGCTAGTGTACTCCGTGTTTTTATACTAAACCAACACATAATTAGATCAGCTGATAAAGGAATTGTTCTACTGTACTTAGTATCACTAAAGGTCTTAGTTTCGTGCCTTTGGTAGAGTTCATCCTACCCCCCTCCCCTATATAAACCCCAACTCAACTTGAATTCGAATCAATCGGAGCAAACTAGTGGGTAAGGTACCCTCAACATAAAATAAAACACAATATCTTTAATGCTAGGAAAAGTCCTCGTATGATCTTTCCCTCTTTCCATTATTAATGTAGGTTCAATGCTGCAATGAACTATTAATAATCACCCTTGTACAACACAATTCAATTATTAATCAGTTTATGATTTGGAGGTATTTTGTCTCAATCTTAATCATAAAGAAGGACATCTTTATCATATGCTCAGCATTATTTAAAAACTTTTGGCGCTTGCTCCTACGTTCAATTCCTAATCCTAAACTATTGGCAAAATACAGTAGGGTGTGGCTCCTTTTCCCTTCACCTTATCCATCATAGAATGTGGGGATTAGAGGTGGGTAGAAACTACACTCCTACATAAAAATAGGCAATACATCAACTCTATTTCTCTATAATCTTTTTTTTTTTGACACACTATTTCTCTATAATCAAATAATAATAATATGCCCAATGATTTGTCCGAATGTAACTCACACTTTTCCAACTTCACACAAAGGATATTACGTATCTATTTACCAAAAATTATACTTATAAAATATTATGTATTGTTATAATGGTTATTTTTTATTTGTATACTCCATATAATTTTGGAGTTAAATTCCTCCATTCATGCTTATTATCAACAATCATCGCCGGACCACATGAGAAAGAAAATAAAAGAGAAGGAACAAACATATAACAAAAATTAAGTAAAAACAAAGTACGGAGTAAAATTTAGCCTATAGAATCAACCTCTAAAAGAGATTAGTGAATAGTGATAGTGAAATCCAATTCAACACTACTAAATATTTTTTTTTATTTTTTTATTGTCGATTAGTAGTGTGTATCTACCCAACAAATAGATATAGTTATTCACTTATATTTGTCGAGAAGTAATCAAATTATCCATATATCGGTGATCAATAAAGGTTCCTTCCAATACAATATAGTCTCATACATTGTTATCATAATTCCTTTTTGGAGTACAAGCTTCACATTGACGTCAAATGAAGAGTAGACATTGCACATACACACAATGCTCGGGTCACATTCCAAATGACAAGAAGTGATAAAAGGTCTGTCAATTTTTTTTAAAAAAAAAATCAGAAAAGAAAAGTAAGGAAAAGCGACCTTATTCTAAGCTTGATTTTCTTCAACAAATTGACTTATTTAATAAAAGCAAGCATGAATTAGAAGTAGAAGTGACACCATGGTGGCATGGTACTCATAAGTCATAACATTTCGTCGGTCACACACTCACACAGTCACACTATCTTATAGTCACGTTTCAATAATCTCAAAGTCCTAGCAAATTTTAAATCGACATAAAACCTAGATTAGAGCCCATGAAAAATTTAGGATTTTAAACACAAAAAATGAACCCAAACTAATCCAAAAATGTACATCCCGTCAAAAAAAAAAAAAAAAATTACTTATACTCCATCTGGACCTAAATATAAGCCCCACGAACCTTGTTTTCAAATAGAAAAACCCGATTTCTTTTTTATTTTACTATATTCAATTTTAATCAACAATATGTCAATATATAATTCACCTCATTAAATCGTATTCTTTAAAAAAATGAGATTTTTATTTTAGAGACCGATTGAGTAGGACTTGACCATAACTCTAAAAAGAGCATGTATACTCCGTAGTAACCAACACAAAATACTATCTCACGTATATTTGATGTCATCATAAACAACACTATAGTAGTATAGTGTATAATATTAATCAAAATTACAAACTTTAAGAAAACCAGTCAGCATTTAATTTGATTTTGTTCAAGACAAAATCATCATTTATAAAATTAGTTTGAATTCCATTAAGAATCTATACTCCTAAAAAGCCAGCTTTACAAAGGGAGCCACTAAGCCAGGCATGCTTTCATTAACTGGGATAAACTTTTACTCTGACGTGGGCCATATATTATTATTCTTATTACCTTTTTTTTGAAAGAATTCTTATTACCTTTTTTATTTTTATATTTATTTTTTTAATTTAATTATCAGCATATTTTCCATTATATAAATTCATTCAAAGAGTAGTGGGGAATGTGAGGTGGGTCTATCTTTCTTTGTGAAAAGAAGTGACCTGATAAATATAAATAACATGTAAAGAGAAGCCTTTAGAAGTGGCAAGCAAACCCTGCCCAAATACCCTTAAAAGGTTAACCCAAGAGCTAAAAGGATTAGGTCCATAACTTACTGCCCCCCAAAATACCATATTTGCGCATGTAACTAAAGCCACTAAGATATCATTTTTATACAGTACATGATCATTCATTCAAATCATAATCACATATTTCAAATATGATACTCATTTACAACAGTCTAAGAATGTAGAATCTATGCATAAATGATGTCACTAATCAGTCTTTGATAGTCTCGAAAGCTAGACCCGACAAAATCAACATGAACTCGAATTATACTTAAAATGAGCAAAATGAACTAATCCATCCAATTTAACGTGTTTTGCGCGGCTGATTAATTTGCGCTGCAATAGCTCAATTACGACCTAAATTAAACTTTTAAAAGACCAAATTTGACATGAACTGAAATAAACCCAATTGAGCTCTAAGCAAATCAATTATATCAGATATCAAATATCAAATTCGAAACCTAATTCGATTAAAATGATTCAATTTTCTATCTAGAAACAATAAACCTAGAGAAATAAATTGTGAAATAAATGTCATAGAAACTATCCCATATGGCATAAGAGAATAAGAGATGCATATAACAAAAACCAGTAAGGAATTACTACCCATTTTTGCCTTTCTTATTTTTTTCATTAAACAAGTAGCTGAAAATTGTACAATGGGTGCAGGACAGCAATAAATGGCTCAAAATACAAGCCATTCAAGTAATTTTCCATCAGATGGAAATGCCATAATATTGTGTCAATGACAGTGGGCCTAACCATCTAATCGCACCAGATTGAGCGTGTACAACCGTTTCAAGCAATGCATTTACTTATAACACCCACAGTTTACTCCTGTTTCTTCTTCTGAAAGGGAGGTGATATCTGCCGACCCAAATGTGTTAATTTCATGTCTATAAACCAAAAAAGATCCAATTTGTTATAGATAGAGGTTATCGTCTAGGGTCGCTTAAATACTGGTAGTCCTAATACTCACAAGCCTCTAAAGTACTACCACAAATCCACAATCATAGAACGTAATAGAAGAAGTATGTCAACGACAAGTCTTTAAAGCATTACCATTACTTATTTTCTACGCGTCTATGCCATCCAAATTCCAAAGTACCAAAAGATATGAAAATGGACAAATTTAATGACCTTGGAGATTTACTATGATTTTCTCTACATGATAGAGGATACAAGAATATATATATAAAAAAAAGGATGGAAAATGCTCCATTAAACTTCTTTATGCCTTTTCAAAATTTAGTTAAGATTGGTACATCAAGACTATTTGATAGTGACAAGAGTCAAGAGGTACCCTTTGAAGAGCACATGCTTGACTTGCCGAAAGAAATAGAGCATCAATAGAAACTTCAATAGTGCTAAAATTTATGTGACAATTACTCTTTTCTTTTTTTAATTCTTTCCTTGCCTTCAAAACGAACCATAGTAGACTAGTAGTAGTATACTGTAACTGATTGGTGAACTTTGGATGATTTCACATCTCTTTTAGGAAATTCAAATTGTCAAGAATTTCTAGAGTGTCACCAACAACAGTTTTCTGAAATAAAAGAACAGAAATACAAACATGCATATCAATAAACACAAACGGGAGCCTCTGCTGCCGTGCACATAAGTTTTATAGGTAAAAGCAACATGCACATGGTGCACATTTTAGATATGGAGTATATAATTAACTAATTAAGGTACTCCGTGTTAACAATAAAAAAAGCTAATATGGTTGATACTTGTAATGTATTTGTGAGTGGTATCTAAGAATTAAATTCCAACTATATCATTGTCCCTTTAGATTACCAGTATCCCTAAGTAATTAAGGACAAATAATTAAGCCTTCCTTTTAATTTGTTATCTAATGAATATAAGGCTCAATTAGTCATTATTATTTCCAAAGGTAAAATAATAAAAGTCTGGAGTTTTTACTTCACAGTACAAAGAAACTTCAAAAGAAAGATTATAATGAGATTTCTAAATCATTATTATTTAGATATGATCTGAAATAATATGGCCCATTTTTGAAATTTCAAGAATTCAAGCCATGCTTTTAACCCCACCAGTATAGCACTAGCTTTCAATGTGGTACCAACATCATGATCTTAATGGTACTATAGTTTCACAGGACATAATAATGTTCAAGGATGGAAAAAGCAGGTTACAGGTTTACAGGTGAGGTTAGTGGAAGGAAAATGCAGTCAGCATTATTCACCATTTAAGGCAAAAAAAATTGTTTTTATTAAAAGTAAGAAGCAAAAATTCCAAATTACTGCACTATGGGAAGAAATTTTTTGATACAAATCATCACCAAGATTTTGACCACTCTTTCTCCAGTTTCTGACAAAAGAATTTATTTAACTAGCCAATAGGTGGTGTGATAATTCACCACTCGTTCTCACGCTGATAGTATAATTTAAACTAGTAATGTTGCAACTAAATTCAAGAGGACATTGTATATAGTAATATAGCTAATATTCTATAGAGTATAGGTTAAGATTCATTTGATATTTATAACTTTATTTATATAAAGATGTTGCTTAATTAAATACGGAGTACACTACATTCTCAAATCTATGCAGAATACTGGTAAGATAAAGTCGTGTACATTTGAATCTTTTGGAACCCGCTAATATTAGGGTTTAAATTTTTATTTTGACAGCACGGTAAGTTATAATTCCTTCTCATTTCACACACACATACACATGCACACACACTAAGAAAAGAAGTACCTTTTTTGGGAGCTGTCAACGCATTATGGGTAAAGTTAAACTAAGTAAACACAAGTATCCAAATGGTCTGCTTTAAATAAGATTGGGGGACCTTACTTAAGGGTGTGTCAGACCAAAAACCAAGACACAGGAATCTATTAAAGAAAGGGAGCTTAGCTGTCTGTTTGTGTGCCTAAGAGAATGGGAGGGGGTGTTGTGGTTTCTAAATCATTGGAAATGGTGAGGCAGTAAGATCGAGCCCCTGCTTCCTTTGAACGCCTCTAAGTTTGGTTTTTGGAAGCAATAGAATAAAACCTTCCTCTTAAGGACAAAATCATAGAATAACAGACTTCTAGTGTTAGCTCATCATAGAAGACAAGAGTAATACATACAAAAAACCCACAAATTATTTCAAGCAAAAGAAACAAAGAAAGCAGACATATAAACTTCAGAATTCTAACCTACATGGCTCCAAGAAGAAGTAGTTGTTCTTCATTTATTGTCAAATTTGTTGTTTCCCTCCTCATTGTCGCTTCCATTCTTAGCCCCGCGCTCTCGTTGCCAAACAACCAAACGTTCGAGCCGGAAAAAGAGCTGCAGAAATTAAGAAGAATCAGAGCTCATCTCAAGAAAATCAACAAACCTGCTGTCAAGACTATTAAGGCATGCCCTGTTGTGTATACAAAAATAGTCGCCATGTTTTTTTTTTTTTTTTTTTTTTTTTGGTAAACAGCATCTAAACACTAGGATACATGCATGTTCAAAATTTAATCATACGTTTTATTTGTTTTCCTATGACAGAGTTCTGACGGTGACTTGATAGACTGCGTTCCATCTCATCTTCAACCAGCTTTCGATCATCCTGAGCTCAAGGGGCAAAAGCCACTGGTAATGAACATTTGCAACAATCAAAGTTTGAGGCGAAACAATTAAACATATGTTTCATGATATGTAACGATGAAATTGTTGATTTTTCATTCACAGGATCCACCAGATAGGCCAAAGGGTATTGACTCTGTTGATGAAGTAACACACAGCATTCAGCAATGGACAGAATCTGGAGAATCATGCCCAAATGGAACTATACCAATCAGAAGAACTACAGAAGAGGATATCTTGAGAGCCAGTAAATTTGGAAGATTTGGAAGAAAGCCTAGAAGAATTGTGAGGCGAGATTCGGATGGTAGTGGTCATGAGGTTAGAGAATGTTCAACACTTTCTGAATATCAAAACACAAACAGATTAACAGAGTAAAAATATTGCAGAAGCAAACGGTTTACCACATACTTAAAAAAACAGTGAAGCATTGCTTCTTAACAATGGCACATTGGAATTGATCACATTCGAAAGCTATGATTCAAATCAGCATGTACGGATGTCTAACACATGATTTTCTATTCACAGCACGCGGTGGCATTCGTTAATGGACAACAGTTTTATGGTGCTAAAGCCAGTATGAATGTTTGGACACCTCAAGTTACTAATCCATACGAGTTTAGCTTGTCTCAACTATGGATCATCTCTGGTTCATTTGGCAATGACCTTAATACCATAGAAGCAGGCTGGCAGGCAAGTATATCAGATATACTTACTACCATATTATCAACTAAAAAAGAAACTACTTGGTTTCTATATAGACAATATTACTTATCCAATTTTATAATTTTTTCCTCAGATAAATCCAGCTTTATATGGTGATAAATACCCGAGGTTCTTCACGTACTGGACGGTATGTTCATAGTTCTGTTGTTTTTCATTATGAATTGCAGTATATATCATGTACGACAGTGATTAATATCAACATATTTGTTTGATTTTCTGTACAGACGGATGCATACCAGGCCACTGGATGCTACAACCTGTTGTGTTCAGGCTTTGTTCAGACTAACTCCAAGATCGCCATCGGAGCAGCTATTTCCCCAAGATCATCCTTCAAGGGTAGACAATTCGACATTAGTATCACAGTTTGGAAGGCAAGTTTAAATATTCTAGTCTCATTAAAATACACAACTTACAAATTATTATTCCCTCTGTTTTCTAAATAGTTAGCCACATTTTTATTTTTTATAATTTAATCATCCCAAATTAATAACCCACTTTCTAAATTTAGTAAGATTACTTAATACTTGTTTATTATTATAGTACCTTTAACTACCTACCTACTTGTGAGTTGTAACACAATGAAGAAGTAAAGTCTTACATAATAAAGGATAGTTATAATATTTCAACTCAATTTCTAATCAACCGTTAATCACATATATAGATCCTGAGTTGAAGAACAAATATCACTTATTTATAAGTCATTTCCGAATTCAATAATTAGAGGGCAAAAAAGCAAAGCATGTAGCATGAGATTCACACATTTTTCAAACTAGCTGACCAAGGAAGACATTGGTCTCATCTGTCTAGGCAATAAGCTTGATCTGATTTGGACTCCTAAAAGATGTAGTCAAAATCATCGTATTTTAGTTCAGCTATCAGGATTTGATTGAAATATTGGATTCACTTCTAGTCAAAATTTGCTTATGCAGTGTATAGTATGTCAACTATTGACTACAGTTACCGAACTCAAAGGCAATCATATACTTTATAAGTTTAAAATTTGAACTGCTTGTTCAATCAATTAGGACCTAGAAAATTAGGGGTAGAAGAAGACAAGACTCCCTAGGAAATGACAAATACTAGGTACATGAAGAAGTACAGAGTCATTTTCACAACTATGTATCTTCAGAGTCGTTTTCACAACTATATATTCTCTGCAAGCACTGCACAATGACATGAACAAGAAGTAGATAAAGACCAAACCAATAAACCATGTTGCTATATTTCCAGACGAAATACTTTTCTTTTGTGAAAAAACTATCTAAAGATGAGTATTTTGTATGCAGGACCCTAAGCATGGACACTGGTGGCTTGAACTTGGATCAGGGCAACTAATCGGGTACTGGCCGGCATTTTTGTTTAGCCACTTAAGGATGCATGCCAACATGATTCAGTTTGGTGGAGAAATTGTTAATAGCAGATCCTCAGGTTTCCATACATCCACTCAAATGGGTAGTGGCCATTTTGCAGATGAAGGGTTCACAAAGGCAGCATATTTTCGTAATTTACAACTAGTTGATTGGGATAATAACTTGATCCCTTTGTCAAATCTTCGACTCCTGGCTGATCATCCTAATTGCTACAATATAAGACAAGGAAGAAATAATGTATGGGGTAATTACTTCTATTATGGAGGACCTGGTAGAAATGTAAGATGTCCTTAAAAAAAAAATAGAGAACTGTGATTTTGATTGTTATTTTTCCTCCTCATGCCTTCACTCAAGTTAGGTTATAAGTATCAATATTTTAGAAGATTATTACTTCTCCAACAATGAATTGTTCAATGAAAACCACTGTATATCTGAAAAATACAAGTTGTTTATAGATAATATAGTCCATTGTGTTGTGTTCCAATGTTGTCCCTCCTATTGTATTGAAACATTTCTTAACTATAACCAACAACATTTGCTAAATTTTAGAAGATAGGTAGAGTAAGACATGGATCAATTTAAGAAGGAAGTACACGAGGATATCGATCTTACCTAGTTTCGTGAAATGGGGAGAAAACATGAAACTTCAAATGCCCGAGCATCTGACTTGAAATTTCCCACAACACAATGGTTAGCATGTGTCTGCTGCAGGAGGAGAAAATTTTAGAACATGTCTTGTTCAATTAGAACTAAAAAATATGATCTATCAAGAATTAAATAAGGCACAACTGTCAATAGACAAATCTCAAATGAATAAAGAAATGAACACAAGCTACATATGCCAAATACCTGTTAATAAATCACATAATAAGTGCTATTATTGGTTTATTGATAATTTGTATCACATAAATATATTTGTAAAAATTACTCACACGCAGTCCAGTAATCCCTCTCTACTTCGTTTGAAATATATTGTCAGTTTGTCACATTATCCCAACCTTTTATAATTAAGGATTCACCATGAATTCACTAAATCATTCTATAATGAAGTAATTTTATGCACATCCTCACTCCACCACTCTTGAAAATCTAAGTATAATCTATAGATCTTTTAATAAACTTGACACCTTTTCCCTAGCATTCTATCTAGTATACGTGTCTCTCATTTTCCAATGGAGGAAGTAATACTATCTATATAAGATATGACAAAGCATTACAAACAGTAAGAAAAAAAAACACAAAAATATATCAAAAAGAAGAGAGTAGTCCATTTTTTTTTCCAAAATGACAGATCTAGGAGAAAGCCAGCATAAAGTACCAATCTTAATTGCTGTTTTGAAGGTTTTGTGCAGCAAACCCTACAAAATGTTTGCAAGGCTTAATTATCCTTGTCATTCTTCAAGACCTCAAGAAAGTTATATAAGCAAATTTGCATTACCAACATACAACTGATACAAGTATACATCATAGTAAATTGAATTTTAGTGTGAGACCAGACGCATGTACCATCAAATTACAAACAAAATCAGATTTACGCCTATGTTACTCTGACTCCTCACTCCTTATCGTGTTGGAAACTCAACACTTGATATAGGTATTAAACACTTCATTTTAGACCAAAATCATGCAAAGTTAATATCATAAAATGGCTGTATTTGACACTTTGACACTGATCCATGTTAAAGTGTTGGACACTTATATTATAATCCAAGCAACACAGGATTTACCAAAGTCCACAGAGTTGAGGAAATCCATGATGCTTTGAAGTCCGCGAGTGAAAGGGAAAATCCAAGCTATTCGAAAGTTCTACATAAGATGATAAGAAGTTCACATAATACAAGGGCATGCATGTGCATCTATGACTTTTAACAAGTTTAAATCCAACAGCAGAGCATCTAATCTTAATAAAATACAGCTTCCAAGAATCTAAATATGAGCTAGAATTTATGAAATCACTTGAATGTGAGGAAATAGATGATCTAGGTAGTCAGCTTAGAAAGGAGTTGACCCTACAAAAACAATTGTGATAAAACAGTTTGTCCCTCCTATCCTTTTTTATTTTATTTATAAGAAATAAGTATTTTAGGGAGATTTTCAAATATTAGGAGGCAAGGAGATTAATTAAGGGACTAAAAATATGAAAGACATGCAAGAAGATATTGTTTTACCTAGGTCTATGAAATAGGGAAAACATGAAACATAGGAAAGTGTAAGAAACTGACCTAAAATCACCATAACACAAGGGTTAGCAATCTTAGCATGTGCTCACTGCAGAAGAAGAAGAAATTAGAACATCATGTCTAACCCAGCTATGACCAAAAAACTATTCATCAAAATATAGGAGTAATTCGCACATAACTTCAATAAATAAAGAAGTGAACAGAAACCAAGAATGTCACATATTTATTAACACCTAATCAAATATATATATCGTTCAATACACAATCATTAGTCAATTAAACAAAGATAATGTCGCATAAATAGATACATCACTGAGGTATAAATTCAATATAGCAAAATGCAGTTATGTAATTTCTTCCCGTGCTACCTTCTTATAAGCAGGGTTTAGTGGGCTCGCAACCGAATACCTGGTTTCAGATTAAAGAAATCTCTCATAGCTTTCAATTGCAATTAGTCTAGTTATCGCTTCTAATTAATTTAGTTTAAATCTCTATCACAATAGGTCACATTTGATTATGGAGGTCAAACCTCGTAACTTTGACTATTGTTTATATTATAAAATCTATCAAATAATGTAAAAAGTCCTTTCTAAATAAAAGTTTTAAAAAGCTTGCATATATCCATAGAATATAATTTATAGGTATAATAAATTATAATGATATTGCAATTAAAAACAATTGGTCAAAGTTGACAAAAATGAGAAGTTGAGAGCTGGTTTATGCACCAATTACCAAACAATTTCAGTTTTTAAAAACTTTTAAGTAAATCACACCATGGGCTTGCATGTGTAATTTTCAAGAACATAATTCACTCCAAAAAGACAGCATATAGAAAATACATCTTTCAAGAATCTAAACTGTTTCTGCCCAAGATAGTCTGAGTAAACTATTGCAATGTGACCAAAGAGATGAACAAGTGTACTCCAATAAAGCCTTAAGCGTCAAATATGTGCTCAAATGACTATAGCAATGCAAAACATAATTCGATCATACTCTTAGACATGCTAGATGGAAGAAGGACAATAATACGTAGGCAATTTCAAAGCTCACCAGTTGCTGATATTATAACTACAATCTATTATCTGAGTTTTGAAACTCTCCAAACCTTTTATTGCTACCACTAGAATTTGCAAAATAAACCAACAGCAAGATTCTATGTCACTAGAGTGTTTATTTCCATAAAAGCTATTTGCGTGGGTGTATCTACACTCAAAACATTTAAGATACATGAGTAAATCTTGAGTGAGACAATTTCACACTATCTATGGAAAGACATTAAAAGGAAACTCGAAATAGAGAAAAAATTCTCATTAAACTGAAAAGTTCTCATTTAACAGAAAAAGTAGCCTCAAAATAGTGAAAAAAAATTCTCATTAAAAGGTGTAAATACTAGGTAACATTGTTAAATGTCAAAAATTAAAGCAGGCAGCATATGGAAAAAATAGGTAAGCTGCTATTAATAGGATATTCCAGAATACAACAAACATGCTGGACAAGTGGACAAAGGAGTGACAGACTCGTTGTTTCTCAAGAGCGTCAAGGCCTTAACAAAGAGAACATGTACAAAGCGAGAAAATCAAATACTTGTCCCTTGATCTAGCCACCAAAAAGCATTGAAGAACAATACATCAAGCTAGTATCAAGTCAGTTCATCAGCTAAAGGCAGAAAGGCACATACCTTGCATTGCCTAACTAGAGGATTTTTTTACCACAGAAGACAAGATGTACACATAGGAGACCTTAAGCAACCCTAGAATTATCTTCATTGGAAACAATGCTGTTAATCAATTTCCATTGCAACATCACCTCAAGATGAATGTTGTAAAAAGTTCTATGAAGATGCTAACGTTTCTTCTGTCGCTCATCAACCAGTAATTTATCTGAAAGAAGTTTATAATCTTTCAGATTGCAGTCAATTAAGCTGATAAGGCTTCTTGAATTTGAAACAACTGATCCAGTTGCAATGATGAAATCATGATGTTTGATCTCATTCTGTAGGGCATCTTCACCTTCATATTTATGACTGCATTGACCATGAAGTTTTTCAAATGTTCTGCTCAGAGCAGAGTACAGTTGTACAAAAGAAGGGTCCCTCCAGATCTTCTGGATATCCAACAGGGCTGGCTTGTCTTCTGTTAGACATGTGGATTCCATTCTTGAAGCAACTCTCCTGATAGACATCAGATTTGATATAGTATGCTCAGCCCAAGAAAATAAAGCCGTATAATCATTATTGCAACCTTCAGCATGATTAGAAAGATGGAGCAAGTTGGCAATAGACATGCGTACAATGAAGGTGAAGAAATCAATGAAGTTCATGCCTGTATGAAGAAAAAATAATGAGATAGAGGTATAAGGAGCCAATATCATGAAACATAATTAGTACATGGGCACCCTTTAGATTATTTACATTGGTAGCATAAAACAAATAAAAGATCTCTAAAAATAGCCCATAGCTGTCTTCTGGTAACACCACATTCTAACAAGCACTGTCATACCCGTCTATCAGACCAACTTCAAAATTCTTCAAATAATTGGGCTTGCCTTGCACTATGCGGTTTTAAATATGATGCTATACTTGTATTGTCATAGATTTAAAGCTTCCTGAATTGCCTACCTGTATTAGCAGCAAGATTACGCTGGCAGAGGCTCTCAAAATCATCACATATGTCCCTTACATCCTCTATTAGCTCCTTAGCCTCATTGTAGTCCCCTTCAAGCAAATCCCACTGTATAAGACAACCACAAAATCAATTGCATGGCATTCTATATTCCCGCTAATCATCAACTGAAAGGTATCATCTATTAACTTACCACCCAGTCAAGATTATAACCATTGAACCAATTGTGATTGATAGATATTGCATCTTCCTGGAAAAAACTAAAAAGTATAAATTGCCATCAATGAAATTGTTGCAACCCAAATGCAATATAGATAAGAGGATCGGAAATCTAGAAGGGAACTAGGGTGTTTTTTTTTTTTTGATACTATCATCAGGAATCAAAATTTTAGATTAATCACAATTAGATCATGTCTACACCAATCAGTTGCAATTATAAATGTGTTCGCCAGCTCCAAGAGCAATAGGCCAGAAATAATTATCTTAAATGACATTATTCAATATCAATAGCAACAATTAATACAGGCACGTACATCAAAGAGGCAAAACAAATGGAAAAGTCAACAAATTGTACAAAGCACACCAATTTTTGTCATACCAGATTATGCACTTGATGGTACCATCCACTGGGAACAAATATTATTTCATTCTTTAATTGGGTACATTCTAACCAGATAGCCTGTGATGAAAATTCAAGAGAGTAAATTCATGCCCAAAGAATGCTTCATAAGTTTGCCAGGAAACTCAAGCAAGCAAGCAAAATATAAGCTACCTTCTTAAAACCAGGGAACTTTGAATGATTGACATCCTCAAATATATTGTACACAGAACTTTTAAAATGCCTGCGTTCATTGAAGTAAAAATTAACAAGTAGCAGGTATGATCAGATGAAGTAGATAAAGCAGATAAAATTCGTTTACTAAAAGAAAAAAAAGCAGATAAAATTCTGAAAACTCCCTTTTATTTTTCCAAGTATATGTAGAATGTAATAACATGACTCAAGAATTGAAAATTTCATGCCACTGGGATCCAATGCAGAAAAAGAAAACCATGCAAAAAAACTCATGTCAAGCACAATATAGATAATATTTCTCATATGTGATTCAAATGAACATAAAAGACAGATACTCTCATAATATTTTTTTCATGAAGCAAGACATACATACAAAATTCCCTATTTTCAATAATTTGCAAGCGTCAGTTGTTCTGCCTAAAAAAACTACTCAAAGAGATAGCTTCATGATCTGTCACAGACAGGATTCAGAGGACTAACAGAGGTGCCTAGATACAATAATAAGGCTATCTCACTGTGAACTACAAAGTAGAATTTAAGGGGCAAGCCTCAGAACAGCCTCTCCAAACGATTGGGGTAAAGATGCCCACATTTGATAAGCCTAAACAAATTCTGTCTTCTGTGAAACATTAAAATGAAGACTTAAAATGGGTTCACAACTCCCGTTACACGATAAAAGTCCAACAATCTATTAATGTTCACATATCCTACTTTAACATTACCTAGCAAGAATACCTGTCAAATACAAGGTGACGTTGAGCAGGAGGTAGAAAAAGCCATAATTTTGTCCCACATACATTTGCTGACCAACTGTATGACCTGAAAACATCAGCATGCAGAGGGGTCCATGTACCTAGATGAAGAGGAACAAGCTCAGTAGTTATGAGCCTGTGGGCTGGTCAGTAGCATACAATAAACAGAAAAATTGTCTTACAAGATAGATGCTACTGCACTGAAGCCCCAACCTTTTGGTCCCATATACACAAAACGGTAGTCAGAGCAACAAATTTCATTTCTCTCCTGATAGTCAGGATCATCATGCATGCGATACTGGTCCAGGTACAAGTTCAGCCAATCATCATTGAAAAAGAGTGGAGTCTCATATGCCTTGTACTCAGGGTATTCCTACCAACAAGATCACCAAGATTGAGATTTCAGCCAAAATCACTACAAATTATGTCTGGAAAACCAAAATGATAATAAAATAAACAACCATGTTGGACATAATAATGAAAAAAAGTGCTTTCAGTTGTGGAACTAAAGTGCACCCACTGTTTATAATGAAAAACCTCACGTAGCTTACTGGCACAACAATCTTTTTAGACCAACATTAAGAACTACATGTGTCTTTAAGAATGGCAGGTTATCCCCAAACTCTTACAGCAGCATTTAGGAACAATCAGAAAGATAATGAATTAAAGAAACGATAAAAGAGCATAAGTACCGCATATTATTGTCATTCGTAGATTTCATTTCCTCAACAATCTAGCTAATGGTCATTGGCCTTCTAGAAAACTTAAGGGAAAGACTTCAAAACTTATGCTTCATTAAGTGCAACCAGGTGCTCCCTCCATTACCTAGAATGGAAGCACCACATTGTGTCACACTCTTGAATGACAAGAAAAGTAAATGTACATCATGCATAGATTGAAGAGCATTCCACAAACACAAACAAAATAAGCAAAATCTGTAGCAGTGCACAACTGCCTCCTGCAAAGCCGTATCAACAATTTGTGTGCAAGAATAAGATTTATTAGGAAATCTACATTACAAAAATAAGTTTCTCAATATATATGTTAGAATGTCCCACATGGAGCTTCTCAGTTAAGAAACATTCTCCTTTCGCCATCCAAAATAGAAATCAGACTTACTTTTATAAACAAAAAATTAGAGAGCAAAAGAGCCATAAATTAAATGACAGAATGCATGAGGGCCTGATTTCAGCTTATACCTTAACAAAGTGCCAGTCTTTCAAATATAAAAAGGACTTGTCACTGCAGCCATCAGTGGAAACAATGTGATGAACCTCACTGTTATCTCCATTTAGTGCGGCCCAGTATTTAATGAACTCTGAAACAGACATTTCTTCTCTTCTTTGATCGGTAAATTCCATGCTATAACAGTCCGCAATCTGCATATCATGCATCACTAGACAATGTAAAATGCCACAAAGTAGCAATTTGATTTTGACCAACTATAGTACATCACGGCACACACATTCTACATAAGCAGGAAATACAGGTCAAATCTCCTGATATTAAACTGTAAAGGACAGCATCTTTTATGGCCTCATGTGGTTTATGGCGATGACCATGAACTCTAAAGCGCAGTGAAGACACGTATTGTGTAAAGAGGAATTCAAAAGGAATAAAAAGGCATTGATATCTATTAGATGTATAAAGTGGGAATGACAATCCTCCAGCTGAAGACTTGAAGTTCAGTCTAACGGTAATTGATTAAATGGACCATCAAAAAGCAACATCAAACAGCTAGTCTGTCAACAAATCCACATCAAATTCGAACACATGATCAAAATATTAATAACAATAATAGCTATCCTTGCAGAGCATTGCTGCATATTAGTAGGAATCATCAAGCAGCCCAAATCTTCGGTGATTCACATTGTCACATAGCCCTAATAATACGAGGGAACTAACCAAAACGACGAATAAACCTAGTTTGTACACATCTCTCATCAATCATAGAAAAAATCATAACAAATAGACAAATGTAACAACATGAACCAAAAATCATAATCAACCATCATGTATCAAAAGCTTAAGACATCTATCATAATCAATCATACACATTTACTGATTTACAACATTCAACTGCTTCATAACAATGAATACCACTCCATTATCCAAAAGGCCTGATTTCGCTTTTCTATTAAACTTTACACTAATCAAACATTACTCCCTCCATCCCTAAATAAGAAGCCACATTCTCACAAACATCATAAATCAGGTACAATTATAGATGACATTAATCATAATTACAACATCCATTAACTAATTACGGAAACAATTACTTTAATCAACAGAAGAGGAAAATAAGAATAACCTGAACTTGAGAATTCCCAAATTGATTAGAGAAGAAACCAAGATTAGGTTTTCCATAATCATCAACCCAATCTTCGCAAGCTTTCCAATCATCCATTAAACCTGTCAAAACTACGGGTTGATTTTTGGCGAGGTACCTCTCAACGAAGTCGGTGTAACTGAGTTCCTTGCCATTTACTCGCTCGATTTCTCCTCCAATTTTGAGGCCTTTCTTCAGTTCGTTAGCATCCATTTTTCCGCCGGAATCGGTGGTTGACTCGGAAGCTCCGCTGTAACTCGGTGGCGCTCACGATTCCACACGCTGTAACTCGTTGTGTTAGTGTTTTGTTGCTATAAGCCCATAAATTTGAGGCATTTAAGAAATATTGGCCCAATTGTAAGCCCGATAATTTATACTACATCCGTTATATATTATTTGCAATGGACATTTTCCCTCTCTACTTTAGGTCAAAACGGTGCAAATAATATGTAACGGAGGTACTTCCTCCGTTTTTTAGTTGATTATTTTGGGTTTTTTTTTTTTTTTCATCAGCATTTTGGTTTATACGATCTTTATGGAACAGAGAAAGGTAAAGAGAAAAAAAAAATTAAATGGTGTCCATGTGAAAAGAGAGATGAAGAGAATTGATTGGTTAGAAAGAAAAATGATGAATCTAAATAAAAACTTCTTTTTATTTAAAAAGTGATACATTTACAAGAAGCGAGGGAAATATTAAAAAGTGTTCATAATCAATCAAGGATACATGCCACATGTTGGGTTCATCAAGAAATGAGTAAGAACACATACTATCTTTGCTATCGGGTGTAGTAATTATTGGACTCGACTATATGACACGTATCTTATTCATAAAAAGTCTTGCAAAATAGTCTAGTTGAACACATTGAGAAATGAATTAGAAGTCATACAACCACAAATACGTGTCGGGTGCTCGACTCAACTATTTTGTGCAAGACTTTTATAATTAGTCAAGTGTCTAACTCATATTCTAGTGTCGAGGAAGTGACACATAAACTTAAAGTGAAATGAAGAGTGCAAGTAACATATATAATCCATGTTTAATGAAAAGCTAGAAGCTTAATTTGATTATATTTATTGCTTTTAAAAAGATGATTGTATTAACTGATTCGAGTAAGTGATTGTATTAGTGGATTATGTAAAAATGTTTGGTAAATATCTGATATACTTAAGTTTGTTTATGCGAAATGACTAATAAGCTAATTATGAGAATAGGTAATTGAGATAGCGTTTTAGATTAAATTGGGGTGTAAATGTAATTTCACTTTAAAATATTGAATAAGTTAATGAAAAAGAGCTAAGTGGAATGAGCTCATTCATGAATGTGACCGATTTATATAGAGAAGATGATCCAAATGTTATTTATTTATTATTTTTTTTATATGCTTGCTAATGTTTTCCTACTTTAAAATTTTACATAATTCTTAACATATGAAGAAATATATTCTCTACCGCAACCAGCCTTTGAATGAAATGACATTTTTGAACTGGGTCTGTTACTGTATTGTCTGTATATAGTCTACATATAATTGAAAACTATGAGTAATACAATCTTTACAAAATTCTTTCATGAGTTTATACAAATAACTAAAATTGCTGAATATCTGACAACTTTTGACAGTTAAAGGAATTAGGTTATAAGAAATGCAACAGCCAACAGGCTTTCGGTTTCAGCATATTACATAACCATACACCCAACCACAATGCCACACAAGCCAGATTCTTTCAGTTTTATTCCAATGGGAACTATCAGTTACCGGCCTATTGTAGATACAGTCATCTCCTCATTCACGCTTGAATCAATTGCACTGGAAGACGAGGCATTCTCTGATAATGGTTTTCGATTCATGAAAGCTGGTTGTTTGGCAAGTGGAAGAGAGGCATTTTCCCCACTCAGCATATGAACTACGGTTGACATGGTGGGACGGTCACTTGGGTCCTCTTGTACGCACAACAACCCAATATGAATGCACTTCAGAACTTCTGACGGAGAGCAGGATTCGTTGAGTTTTGAGTCCATCAATTCTAGTCCTTTATCTTCATTCCATAATTTCCAGGCCTAGATAGTAGATAACATTAAGTCAGTCTAAAATCAAAATTAAATAAATCAGTCAATTTATTTTTGAAGGTACTTACATGTCCTAGCAAGCTAAGGCCATGCTCAAACATAAAGATTTTCGAATTCCTTTTACCACTTATTGTCTCCAATAAAACCACGCCAAAACCGAAAACATCAGATTTTACTGAAAAGATCCCTTCTAATGCATACTCTGGTGACATGTAACCACTGCATCACAGTTTAAAATAAGGCAATTAGCACATGAATTGTGACACTATATGATGAGGTTTAGAATTAGTTTACTCTACTAAATATCCTGACTTACTATGTTCCAACTACTCTCATAGTGCTTGCTTCTGTTTCCTTCCCACCAACAATCCTTGCTATGCCAAAGTCTGATTTTTGGATTAAGTTCTTCATCAAGTAAAATGTTGCTTGGTTTGAGATCTCGATGAATAATTCTTAGTCTTGAGTCTTGGTGAAGATAAAGCAAGCCCCGAGCGATCCCCAAAATGATGTCAAAACGCTTCTTCCAGTCCAAGTATACAATATGCCTTTCATCTTCTCGCAAAATATCACATAAATGACAGTGTTAATAGAAGAAAAAATAATTAATCTTATACATAGATAGGTACCAACTTGGTAATTAACGGACCAAATAAACAAGAGTCTAGGCTTCCATTAGGCATGTACTCATAGACTAATATCTTCTCATCTGCTTTCATGCAGTACCCAATAAGTTTTACAAGGTTCCGATGCTGGAGCTTGGCTATCAACATAACCTCAGTCCTAAATTCTTCAACACCTTGCACTGATACAGTTGAGAGTCTCTTGACAGCGATTTTCTGCTCATCTGGAAGTATTCCCTGAATGCATTTTCCCACATAATAATAGGTTATCAAACTTGCAAACATAATATTCTCTCAAGTCTAAATAGATTCTAAAATTATTATCATGTACACAGAACCGAAACCCCCTGTCCCAAGCCTATTTGCATCCGCAAAGTTGTTTGTAGCAGCTGTTATGTTTTCCCAATCGAAAAATGGCACATCTATGCCTGCAGTATCATCTTCGTTGAATTCAAGTGAACCTGTCAAATCGCCGGACTTACTCAGTGTAAACAGATACCACCTGTAATTCCTTATATCCTTGTTTACAGGAAGGGTGTGCAGAGTGGCTAAAAGCAAATTTATCACTGAAACCCATATCTAATGTACTTCCTACGTTAAGAAATAGTTGCAATGTTTTGACTTTTACCTTATATACACACTCTACGTTGACTATCTTTGATAACTTTTGATTGAGAAAAAACGGTCATCATCTAGGATGCTCTTCGATTCATTCAACATATACTTTCAAAATATCAACTATTTATAATTTTTACTTAATGATAATTTGATATATTAATGGTTGAAGTTATACAGTGACAAGAGTGAAAATTAAAATAATGCAGCTATTTCTAACGAACGAAGTATTATCTTTCTTTGCAGCACAACTGATATGTTATATTTAATACCTAGTAGTATGCAGCATGCAAAAATAGATTTATAAGAATTACCTCGCTTTTTACTTATTCTTCTTTTCCTGGCATGACAAACAAAGAATATACTGCACAAAAGAACAATTGCCAATGCACCAGCTATGCAAGGAGCTGCAACCTTGAGAGGAAAAGGTACTTTTATGGGACAGAAAGCAAACATAGTTAAGATTTCATAAACAACACTACAACAGTAATGAAATATTATAGGCTCAAAATTGAATATTAACAACATAAAGATAACTACATATTTTTTCAGAGCTACAGCAGTATCCACTCTCAAGTAATAAGATATTAGTGAAAAACACGTACTGATAGACAATTGCCAGAAGAAATGAGTAACTGAGTTAAAGCATCTCACCTTTGGTACATTCCAACTTCAAGCCATCCCAATGGAACTTTGATCGACAGAGGCACCTCTTTTCCACCCCATTCGTGGATTTGCAGCTAGTATGATGGAATTGGTTACAATCTGAGGGTGCATGACAAAGAAATTCTGGTGGTGGCTGCCAACTCATCTCAACTTCAATAAAAGGCTGTTTAACTTGAATTAAAGGTTGGTCCTTAACAACATTGCAGTTTTGAAAAGTGTATGGCAAAGAGTCCTTGAGAGACATAAACAACTTGATATATTTATCGTCACAATTACTATGCCTGACTTGGATTGTAAAGTTTTTTGCATCCTGATCAATTGAAGTGACATTGAAGTTGCCTCTTGGAGTAGAGAATATAACTTGACTGGTTGTACTGTTGCAATGAAAATGGAAGTATGAGGGATCCCCACAATTTCTCCCTGTGCTTAAGGGATAGGGAATAATATAGGTTCCACAAGGACTGCATCCCCTAGAAGTTGGGTCTGCCACAGGACAATAAAACTCATGTCAGCGAGGTTTAACAACATTGCATGACAGCATTACCTTTTCTAATTTACTATAGTATGATCACATTGAGTTGGATTAATTTTACAATCAAGATAACTTGTTCTTTCATAGCCAGTATATACACAATTGAATATGAATATATAGTAGGAGTATATCCTTAACTTCTAAGGCCTAAGCCCATTCTATGTAATTCCTTGGTCACAAAAGGATTTATTGCAACTAGTTATTTTATTGCTCATTCACTCTGGCTATGTTCTTGAGGCCTAATTACAGATCTAAGTCAATTGTCTGTACATTTAAATTACAGTGAGCCTATGGAAGCTGTTTTTCCTCGTGATCTATGTTGTTTGAATCTTATTGCTAAGACAATTGTCTACGACCATTTGTGAGTCAATTGTGATGGTATGGAGGGAGGAGGGAAAAGGGAATAATTTAAATAGCAGTAGGAAAGAAAATACCTATATCAGACCGTGTTGTGCGGACAAAGAGAGTAATTCCATCAGGATACTCCTCTTGCAAGTCAGTCAATTCAGTCCATAGCAAGCATTTCTTCTCACCAAAAGTGCGTGCTCCTGAGCAGTCAGCAAGACCATAAGAGTAAGCAACACAATTGCATTGACTAAGACACTGGGTAGTGCAATTTGCTTCAGTAGAACTAGGAGAACAAGTTTTGTTTCCCACTCTCATCATGTTAAATGTCAAGAAAATGTCACTCAGACTATTGTCCCTTTCACAAAAAGATGCAGATCTTCGTAAACAACCCTCAGAAGTGTCTCCCAAATTCCACTTTACACTAGGCTTGAATCCTGGCAAGCACTTGCAAATCTTCCCGTTGTTACTATTGCAACTGCCAAAATTACCGCATTTATCATACAAACTACAACCATCTCTTGGCTCAGACCAATTTAAGGACCAGCCTTCACTTTTTTTTATCCAAAATTGAATCTGACCCGTGAAGTTTATCACTAGGCGTGTGTTGTTCTGAAGTGGGGAAGTGCCATCAAACCATAATTTAGACAAAGCAGTTGGAATCTTGTCAAAAGGGGTCGTTCCACTCTGCCAATAATTAGCATGTCCTTTTTCATTATTTTCAACAATAGACAAAACATTAGCCGAGCTAGGTTGTAGGGGGAATGTGAAGTTTCTATGAGCTGGGTTGTTGTGATTTTGCCAAGATGTCAGTTTTAAGGTTGTCGATGAAAGAACTACACTTCCATCTGTAGTCATCCCCGGAAGAAATGTGTCAGTTGGGTGATCAAAGCTTTGCCACAAGTATGGGTTTTCCTGTCTTGACAAACTTCTATCCACCAAAACTAAGTTTCCACTATCAAGCAGACACAGCCTTGTCAATGTTTTTAGAGGACCATAAGTGCAACGCTGGTAAGCAGTGCAACGCCGGAGAGCAGTTGGAGACATATCATTGGAAATTTTGGAATTGTTAAAGGTAGGAGTTGAATTTGCAGGTATCGTGGTCTGTACTTGGGCAGATGGAATCCCAGTGGTTGACCAGTACAGTAGACCATTCCCATCCAATAGCTCGGCTTTACCTTGTTGAATTACAAGGGAGCCCTTAGATTCCTTCAGTGGCTTATCTCTATTAGCAACCCACACAATTACCTTTGGATTGGACTGACTAACATACCATATGCCCAAATACCTTGTATTACCGTTGTTCCCATCAGGACTGAAGAATCCGAGCTCGAACACTCCACCAGAGGATACTGTAATATTGTTGCTAGTACCATCAATGACCTTGGAACCTGCTTCTAAGCATTCACTAGCACTGCATTGTAGTATAGGAATGAAAAACAGGAGCATAAGTAAGAAAAAGATGGGATAACATAGGCACATTATGGACCTAATCTTGTTTTGTGGCAACCAATGAACTATATTTTTCGACTAGAGATGATATATATGGTTTTCGTTGGTTGATTAAGTATAGCAACAAGATACACCAGCTTTGATTCCAATTTGATTGCTGCTTTCATTTTTAGTGAAGCATTGTGATACTTTAGGTTCATGCTGCTTTTTCTTATGCCAACTATAAGAGAATTGTCAATTCTCAACACTGGTAGACCCAAGCATAAATATAAAGAAAGACTACTTTTTTTCTTTTTCTTTTAATGCTATACAGCTATAATATTAATAGAGCTTTTGTCTAAGTAGTCCAAAGATATGGAATGGAGCAGTCTTTTGGACCACAAATGCCATATATATCACGTCATTGAACTATTGATTAAAAGTTTAGTATATTAAACACAGTATAACTAGACTATATCATTGCATTTAATTACTTTCCGCCGTACGTAATAACACCGATTATACCATAGCTGGAACTCATTAGAGAACACAGATTTGCAAGCACATAAAAGACATTTTCAGTCATATCTTATACTCGTAACAAACTGTCTGAATAGGTTACTATTTAAAAAATTTCTTAGCTTAGAGACATTGATGATCAGATTTAATGTATCATCATTTAGAAAGAACAACATAACTACACATTATAAGCAAGAAGAGAGATCGCCTGCATGATCTTGATTCTTGAAAATCGGATGGGATACCTCTTATAAGGGTATTACACATTTACATTACAAGTTTTTACTAAGAATACTTTGTTTCATAGATTCAAGAGGATCAAACATCCATTGCTTATGAACCTATATGATACCATTTGCGAAACGTGTAACATATATACACATGCTCAAATTATAGACCAGGTGTTCAACCAATAGTGTTATTATCTAGAAAATCCTTTTATTATATTAGGATGATTAATCATGGTTGAGGTTTCTCTTTATTCAAATGGAATATTTCAAACGATACAAACTTAAGGAAACGGAGAATTAAATAACGTAATGGGTAAAGCACACTTATGAGGTATAGTGCTGCAAATTAGAAAATAAAATTAAAAAAATAGTACGGAGTATAATTTAGAGGACTTACTAACATTATGCTTCTGATTTGCCACGTTTTAGAGACAGAGTAAGATGAACAAGATGAATGACAGGCACTTCAACACAATTAACTCTCTCCGACATTTAATCGAATAGGTGGTGCTCATAATATGCATCTCCGCTAAAGAGTAAAAAATGGATAGGCAAGATTATAAAGTTGAGCACTTGAACATCATTCAACAATTAATACAGGCACGTACATCAAAGGAGAAAAGCAAATGGAAAAGTCAACAAACTGTACAAAGCACACCAGTTTTTGTCATACCAGATTATGCACTTGATGCCTGATGGTCCATCCACTGGGAACAAATATTGTTACATTCTAACCAGATAGCCTGTGATGAAAATTCAAAGAGTAGCAGATATGATAAGATGAAGTAGATAAAGCAGATAAAATTCTGAAAACTTGACTTTTTTTTTTTTTTTTACAGTATATGTAGACTGTAATAGCATAACTCAAGAATTGAAAATCTCATGCCATTAAGATCAATGCAGAAAAAGAAAGCTATGGAATTAACTCATGTCAAGCACAAGATGTATTATATTTCTCTTATGTGATTCAGGGGACAGACAAGGACTCTCATTATAAATTTATAATTTTTTCATGAAGCAAAATACACTGACATAATTCATTATATTCAATAATTTTCAAGTGTTAGTTGTTCTGTTTAAAAAACCTACTCAAAGAGATAACTTCGTGATCTGTCACGGAGAGGAGTTAAAGAGGCATCTAGAACAATAATAAGGCTATGTCACTGTGAAATACGAAGTAGAATTTAAGGGGCAAGCCTCAGAACAGCCTATCCAAAAAATTGGGGCAATGTTACCCACATTTGATAACCTTACACAAATTCTGTCTTTTGTGAAACCTTGCAATAAAACTACTCTTACTATAAGGAAGACAGGAAGACTAAAACAGGTCCATGACTCCAGTTACACGATAACAGTCCAACAATCTAGTAATGTTCAAATATTCTACTTTTACATTACCTAGCAAGAATACCTGTCAAATACAAGGTGACGTAGAGCAGGAGGTAGAAAAGGCCATAATTTTTTCCCACATACATTAGTTGACCAAAGTCCATGTACCTGGATGAAGAGGAACAAGCTCAGTAGTTATGAGCATGTGGGCTGGACAGTAGCATACGATAAACAGGAATACTGTCTTACAAGACAGATGTTACAGCACTAAAGCCCCAACCATCTGATCCCATGTACACAAATCGGTAGTCAGAGCAACATCTACAATAATGTAAACAAATCGGTATGTAAGACATTATGTACAAAGGTTGGGGCTTCAGTGCAATAACATATACCTTGTAAGACAGTATTCCTGTTTATTGCGTACATACCGATTTGAAAGTACACAAATCAGTAGTCATAGCAACAATCTGGTCCCATGTACACAAATTGGTAGTCAAAGCAAATAATTTCATTTTTCTCCTGAGTCCTGATTGTCAGGATCATCATGCATGCAATATTGGTCGAGGTACAAGTTCAGCCAATCATCATTGAAAAAGAGCGGAGTTTCATATGCCATGTACTCAGGGTTTTCCTACCAACGAGATCACCAAGATTGAGATTTCAGCCTATATCAATCAATCAAAGCCTTAATCCCATAAGTGGGGTCGACTACCTGAACCAAATTTGATTATTCCATGTAATCATTTGTTGATGACTACACGGAATAATCAATTTTGGTTTCTGTAGCCGACCCCATTTATGGGATTTAGGCTTTGATTGATTGATCGGTGTAATCATCCACAAAGAGATTTCAGCCTATATCACTACACATTATAGCCTTGGAAACCATGTGGCATGTTGGAACTAAAGTGCTTGAAAAGAAAAAAAAAAAGAGTGCTTTCAGTGATGGAACTAAAGTGCACCTACTGTTTAAAATGAAAAACCCCAATAAAAGTTCTTACAGCAGCATTTAGGAACAGTAAGAAAGATAATGAAATAAAGAAACAATGAAAGAGCATAAATTAGATACTATCACATTTTATTGGACCAACAATCTAGCTAATGATCATTAGCCTTCAACAAATTCTCATTTGTCTTACAAAATTGGACATAATTCAATCTTTACATTAATCAAAACAATCAACCACCAAAATTCAGCATCATCATAGTACATGACAATAATCATAATTCACAATCTAAATTACAGAAATAATTACTTTAATCAACAGAAGAGGAATATAGAAATAACCTGAACTTGTGAATTCCCAAAACAAGATTAGGTTTTCCATTATCATCAACCCAATATTTGCAAGCATTCCAATCAGTTCCTTGCCATTAACTCGCTCTATTTCTCCTCTGATTTTCAGGCCTTCCTTCAGTTCGTTTGCATCCATTTTACGCCGGAATCGGTGGTTGAACCGCCGTAACTCGGTGGTGCTGATGATTCCTATGATGTGATCGTAGTCGTTGTGTTATGTTCTAATGATAAGCCCAAATTCGTTGTGTGGGTGGGTTTTGATTTAATCAATTTTTTTACAATCGTGTTAAATTATTTTGTCCATATTTAATTAGTTCGTTTTTTTTTTTTTTTTTTTTATTTATTGAGAATCATATTTTATATTGGTATGAGTAATGTCATTTTACTCCGTAAGTCCAATCATATCATATAACTTAATATATAAAGCTAAACTTTTAGCCAGGCGATCAGACAGCGACACTTGGCGTTCCAACTTTTTGTCAAGTGTCGTGCCGCGTAGGATAGAATTATATAGAATTCAATTTGTAGGATAAAAAAGGTAGTTTAGAATTTTATTTTCAATCAACTTTGGATATAATTTTAGGATAAAATTGTTAATTTAGAGTTTTATTTTTGATAATGTACCAATATTTCATATGTACAAATTGAATTATAATTTTATTCAAAAAATAATTAGATTATAACTCTCATAAATTATCATTTAAATTTATTTTTTATATTATAATATTTTTTTAGAGCAAATGAATTAGTTCAAAATAGCTTAAAATGTACCACATCCATGGGTTATAATATATTCTAATCAATTAAAATAATATACTTCACAATCTAATATAACTAGATGAAGCCCGTGCGATGCACGGTTTGTTTGAATTTTTAAAAATAATTTTTTTTTATACATATATTTATGTGCTAAAATTTGTTATATATTTAGATAAAATTCCTAATATGAAAAGATAATATTTTATATTTAATTAATTTAAATTGGAAAATCTCATTCACTTGCTTGTCAGTTAAATTATTTGATTCTAAAAGAAATTAATAATCTCATATTTAATTGGCTACTACTAAAATTTATTATCCTACGTGGCACATTATGAAAATTAGATCTTACGTGGCTCTCTAAAAACTCGGGAAAAAACTCCCCTTTATATATATATATTAGATAGATTTTATTATTGTGTGTAGACCTGTTAATCAGGTCGGGTCACGAGTCATTTCAGACAGGGTCAAGAAATGTTTTTCACCAATATTATTATTATTAGTCATTACATGTCTACAAGTTTAAATCGTTACAAAAATACGTCAATTGCTAACTAATTTTGTATCAATGATATATTTTAAAATTTGACATATAGATTAAAATATATCTTAAAATTTAATAAACAACCCGGACATCGCACGGGCACAAAACTAGTCAATAATAAACTCGAACTCAAGTATCTATGTCCAACACATATACATAGGGGTGAGCGTAGCAGGGTACCCTGTAAAAATTTCAGGACCCGGAACCGGAACCTGTTGCAACAGGTTCCTAAGAATTGAGAAACGGAACCGGAACCTGCAGGTTCCGGTTCCTAAATAGGGTACCCTGTTTGTCAAAGTAAGTTTAATAGTTACTTGATAAATTGTGACAAATTTATTTTTTTTTAAAATAAATGATCACAATAAAAGCTTACAACTTTAGTATAGTACTTCAAATATAACAAACCAACACTAATTGTCTAGAATTTTTAATACCATATAGGTTCCGGTTTCATGTACCCTATAGGGAACCTGTACTAACAGGGTACCCTACAGGTTCTAGATCCAAAATTTTATTACCCGGAACCGGAACCTGTTGCAACAGGTTCCTAATTTTATTACCCGGAATCGGAACCTGATCAACAGGTTCCGGGTTTGGAACCTGCGGTTCCGAACAGGTTCCGGTTCCATATCAGGGTATCCTGAATTTTTGCTCACCCAAGTGCAAGACTTTTTAATTAGTCTAGAATGAAGTGTCCAAGTGTCTTACTCGTGTTCGACTGTTGAGTATCTGACATAGGCTAAAGGTGAATTGAAAAGTGCAAGTAACATTCGAGTTGCCAATAAATGAATGTGACTGATTTATCGTACAAAAGATGATCCATATATTTTATGCTTGTTAATACATAATTCTTAACATATGCAGAAGTAGATTATTTCTGGCAACCAGCATTTGATTGCAAAGAGATTTTTGAACTGGGTCTGTATATAATCTACTAGTGTTTTCTCTGTTTTTTTAGTTGCTACACTTTTATTTTCATGAGTTTCATGAGTTTAAACAACTGACTAAAATTGCTAAATATCTAACAACAGCCAACAGCCTTTACCCAACCACACTGCCACTCATGCCAGATTCGTTCAGCTTAATTTCAACGCGAAACTGTCAGTTACCGGCCTATTGTAGATACAGTCATCTCCTCATGCACGCTTGAATCCACTGCACTGGAAGACGAGGCATTCTCTGATAATGGTTTTCGATTCATGAAAGCTGGTTGTTTGGCAAGTGGAAGAGAGGCATTTTCCCCACTCAGCATATGGACTACAGTTGACATGGTGGGACGATCACTTGGATCCTCTTGTACGCACAACAACCCAATATGAATGCACTTCAGAACTTCTGACGGAAAGCAGGATTCGTTGAGATTTGCGTCCATTAATTCTAGTCCTTTATCTTCATTCCATAATTTCCAGGCCTAGATAGTAGATAACATTTAGTCCAGAATTATGATTAAAAAAAGCGAGTCATTGATTTTTGAAGGTACTTACATGTCCTAGCAGGCTAAGGCCGTGCTCAAACATAAAGATTTTCGAATTCCTTCTACCACTTATTGTCTCCAATACAACCACGCCAAAACTGAAAACATCAGATTTTACTGAAAAGATCCCTTCATATGCATACTCTGGTGACATGTAACCACTGCATCACAGTTTAAAATAAGGAAATTAGCACATTACTCATGAATTGTGACTATCTGATGGGGTTTGGAATTAGTTTACTCTACTGAGTACTCTGACTTACTATGTTCCAACTACTCTCATAGTGCTTGCTTCTGTTTCCTTCCCACCAACAATCTTTGCTATGCCAAAATCTGATATTTTTGGGTTAAGTTCTTCATCCAGTAATATGTTGCTTGGTTTGAGATCTCGGTGAATAATTCAGCCTTGAGTCTTGGTGAAGATAAAGCAAGCCCCGAGCAATCCCCAAAATGATGTCAAAACGCTTCTTCCAGTCTAAGTACACAGAATGCCTTTCGTCTTCTTGCAAAATATCAGACAGTTGTGATGTTACAAGGCAAAGAATTCAATTTTATGCATGAATGGGTAACAACTTGGGTATCAAACTGACCAAATAAACAAGAGTCTAGGCTTCCATTAGGCATGTACTCATAGACTAATATCTTCTCGTCTGCTTTCACGCAGTACCCAATAAGTCTTACAAGGTTCCGGTGTTGGAGTTTGGCAATCAACTTAACCTCAGTCCTAAATTCTTCAACACCTTGCACGGATACACTTGAGAGCCTCTTGACTGCAATTTCCTGTCCATCTGGAAGCTTTCCCTGAATGCAATGTCCCACATAATGATAGGTCATCCAAATTGCAAAGAGCATAAATCTGTTTGGTTAAAGCAAGAATCACTACCATGTACACTGAACCAAATCCTCCTGTTCCAAGTTTGTATGTGTCTGCAAAGTTGCTTGTAGCAGCCAGGATGCTTTCCCAATCAAAGAAAGGCACATCTATGCCTTCAATATCATCTCCCTTGAGCTCAACAGAGCCTGTGAAATCATTAATAATCAGTGTAAACAATTTCCTATGAGTGCAAATTTACAGGAATGCTGTAGTGCAGCAAAAAATTCTGTATTTACTTGTTGCATTCTTTATTTCCTTGCAAAATTGAAAGATCTAGCACACCAAATATCCTGATTTTATAGTACTTCGTATAACTTTTTAGAAATGAATGGAAAAGCCTACGTACCTTGTTGTTCAATTAGTCTTCTTTTCCGGAAATGATAGATAAAGTAGATCCCACACAAAAGAAGAATTGACAATGCACCAGCTAAGCAAGGAGCTACAACCTTAAGAGTGAAATTCACTTTGTATGACAAAAGTAAACATTGTCAACATTATGGTATGCTCAGAAAGAAAAGGATTTCTCAAACATCAGTGGTAATATGGTTCCACCAACATTCACTTCCAAGCACATAATATCAGCTAAAAAGCAAAATATTTTAAACAGACAGTTTAATGGGCTAAAAATTTGCACTGCATCATTAGGAGCTTACCCTTTTCACATCTCATATTATATCCATCCCAATGGAAGTTTGTTCGACAAATACATCTCCTATCACCGTTTTTGGCCACTTTACAAGTAGTATGAGGCCAAACTTGACAATCTGAAGATGCACTGCATGCAGGTTCTGATGGTTTTTTCCAGCCCATCTCAACTTCAACAAAGGATTGTTTAGCTTCTAAAAATGATGACTCTTTCATAATAGTGCAGTTTTTAACACTATATAGTGAGGGATCCTCATGTGATAGAACAATCGAGTCCATATATCTACTATCACACCAATTGCCATGTCTGACTTGGATAAAAAAGCTCATTTTTTCAGGATTGATTGAAGTTACATTGAAGGTGCCATTGGAAGTTAAGAAACTAACCTGCCCTGTTTCCACATTGCAGTGAAAATTATTGTATAATCTATCCCCACACTCTGTAGCAGTGCTAAGGGGATATGGAATGGTATAAGTTCCACAAGGTTTACAGTCTCTTGGAGTTAATTCTGCAACAGGGGTGTATGCACTTCATGTCAGTTTCAGTATTTCATGTTTGACATTGCCACACTATGACAGCAAGTATAGTTTCACACTTTCACTTATCCTAAACAGTCAATCTCCGTGGTAAACATGTACTCTTTTTTTTCATATGTCATCACTAATTACCACACCTAGAAAGGCGAGTATGAGAGGCTAGCTAATTAATGTGAATCACGCATTCTTGCTAGCAAAAATGCATTATCTTGGCGTCTAGAGGGACATTCTATAGCAGTTTATCAACAAACATTAATGCAAGTAACAAGAATTATGACATGATACCTAAGGAGATATTAAAAGATATTCAAGTTGAAGCAAAGACAAAACATACTTATGTCAGATAGCGTACTGCGAATGAAGATGGTAAATCCATTAGGATAATCCTCTTGCAAGTCAGTTGGTGGATTATTCCACCTCAAGCACATCTCATTTGATGTTGCTGTACAGTTAGCAGTACCACAAGAGTACGCTACACAATCACAATCTGCAAGGCATGCCGCTGTACAATTCTCAACTGTCTCATTTTTATCCGGAGTGCTCACTTTCATCATTGGCATCCTCAAGAACAAATCTGTGTTGTAATCTCTACTACAGGGCACTGACCTTGGTAAACAACCCTCGGAGAAGGTTCCTGAATTCCACCTGTTTGGTTGACTAGGTTTAAAGCCTGGAAAGCACTTACACACCAGCCCATTATTACTATTGCAACTGCCAAAGTTTCCACATACCTTGTACAAATTACACCTATCTGTTGGCTCAGACCAATTAAGAGACCAGACTCCTTGGCTATTCAATTTCCAAAATTGAACCTGTCCATTGAATTTCATCACTAATCTCGAATTGTTATAATCATCCGATGACAAATCATTAAGCAATAAATCAAACAATGTTTGAGGTGTCTGATCAAATGGTGATGAGATTTTGCTTTCCCAATAATATTGTGATCCCTTCTTGGAAATAACCAATTTATATTGGTTATTCCCTTGAAGCTGCAACATGAAATCATATTTGCCCTGTGCAGGATTGTTACTAGTCTCCCATGATGTCAAATTACTAACAACCATTTCAGGAAGAAATGTGTCAGTTGGGTAATCAAAGCTTTGCCACCGCAATATATCTGTTAGCTGACGTCGCTCTGGACTCCGAGATAAAGATAAAACTAAGTTACCATTGTCATTTAGACATAATAAGATGTTCGTGAAGTTGGCACTCGCGGACACAATGGGACTGTTTGATGTACCAGTAGACCAGTAGCTTGCACCTTTCTTATCCAACAGCATGGCATAACCATGTTTTATAAGAAGGGAGCCATTGGGTTCCAACAGTGGCTTATCTCTATTAGCAACCCACACAATTACCTTCGGATTGTGTTGGTTAAAATACCATATGCCCAAATACCTTCTAGTATCGTGGTTCCCATCAGGAGTGAAGAATCCGAACTCAAACACTTCACCAGGAGATACTAAAGTACTGTTAATAGTACCATCCATAATAGCTGAACCATATTCTAAGCAGTTGCTTGCACTGCATTGTAGCATAAAAATCGAAAACAAAAGCTCGTATAAGATGAAGGATATCAAGATGGGATAAGATAGGCACATTATGGACCTAATGACAATTGGCATGAGAAAATGCAGCACAAGCCTTAAGCATACACAATGCTTCACTAGCTACTTCAATTAGTAATGAAAGCAGCAATAAAATTGGAAAGCTGTATAAGTGTAACTTTATGCTATATAGAATCAATCAACAAAAAGAAGCTTAGAATTGTCAAAAATTTTGCAACGGTAGATCCAACTCCCAAGCATGAATTTGAAGCAACAAGAAAAAGACTACTATAAAACAGTACGACTTTTCATCAATTTGCTATTAAGTACTGATACAATGAAAGCTGTTTTCTGGACCACAAATGTCAAATTTGGAATCATTGAATTTTAGTCCATAAAACACATTGTAAAAGTAATTTGTTTTAGTAGAAGAATTATAGGATGAAAAGAGATAAGCCAGTAGATGATAAAGGGGTGGGGTTTCGAAAATTTTGTATTTTTAGCTGACTTGAGAGTTTACTTTCAAGCTTCATTAGTACATAATAATAACACCAATTATGCAATAGCTGGAACTCAGTGACAGAGACTCTTGTAGTCTTGTAGAACACAAATTTGAAAGCATACAAGGAATTAAAGAACGAATATTGTCCACATGATCTTGATCTTGATTCTTGAAAGCGGTGCATAACAACATTGCCAAACAATGCAACTCGAAGTTCTTCTCCAATTTCTTAGTACTTGCAATACTTTGAATTTTGCATTATTCATACAAGAATCTCGAACTTTGACCATCATTCTTCTTAACTATTGCTATAACTAATCTGCAGTTGTAATTTGTATATTTAATCAACTTTAAATAACAATTTATCGGCCAACAGTTGACACAGTGATCATATCAATGGAGCTGAAACCTCCTTGACTGGACAATGAGGCAGTCTCACATGATGATGAACTACTAAAGAAAGATGGTTTTTTCGGAAGTGACTGGCTCGCAGTACTTTCATTGCTGCTGCTAAGCATAAGGACCACGTTTGGCATGGTGGGACGATCAACAGGGTCATCTTGTACACATAATAACCCGAGATAAATACACTTCAACACTTGGGTTGGATTGCATGATTCTTTCAGTGTTGGGTCTATGAATTCCAGTCCTCTATCTTCGGACCATAATCTCCATGCCTACACCACGGCATACACTATATTAGTGTCTAAGTAAATTTTTGAAACAGAGGTAATTTTGTAAGGATTTCAGTGATTGTGTATAATACAGTGATTAAAGCAAGTAAAAACATTAAAAAGGGTGACAAAGAGAAACTGTTGATGATATGAAGTTGAGCACATTGGCATTACTAAATGGTGATCTTAGGCGAATATTTCATAAATATATCAGTCACTTCAAATCTAAAGAAGTTAGGCAAAGGAAGATTGATACATACATGTCCAAGCAGATTCAGACCTTCCTCGAACACAGTTGTTCTTGAATTTCTTCTGCCACTGATAGTCTCCAATACAACCACGCCAAAGCTGAAAACATCTGATTTGATTGAAAAGTATCCTTCACATGCGTACTCAGGAGACATGTAGCCACTGCAACAACAATAATCGCATCAATTTTTCTACTTACATACACTCTGAGTAAAATGGTTATATATGGCTGCAATTTTCCAACTTACTATGTTCCGACAATTTTGTTAGTGTTTGCCTCTGTTGCTTTTCCTCCAACAATCCTTGCTACACCAAAGTCTGAAATTTTTGGATTGAGCTCCTCATCAAGCAAAATGTTGCTTGGTTTTAGGTCTCGATGGATAATTCTAAGCCTCGAGTCTTGGTGGAGATAAACAAGGCCTCTAGCTATACCGAGGATGATATCATAACGCTTCTTCCAGTCCAAGTAAACAGAAAAGGTTTGGTCTAGCAAAAACAGTATACACAACTTGTTGTGTTAGAGGAATGTGCTTAAATGTTGTGTATATTGGCAGGCAATAATTTCACGAGGAGGAGACTAACCAAATAAACATGAGTCTAGGCTTCCATTAGGCATGTATTCATAAACTAAATTATGCTCATCTTCTTTCACACAATATCCCAGAAGTCTTACAAGGTTCCGATGCTGGAGTTTGGCAATCAGCACAACCTCAGTCCTAAATTCTGCAACGCCTTGCATTGACACACTTGATAGCCTCTTGACAGCAATTTCCTTTCCATCTGGAAGCTTACCCTGAATTCATACGTTAGCAACAGTACAGTGCATTAGCAAACTCCATACGAAGATAAAATCATAAGGTTTCACTTGGCTGATTTCCACACAACAACAACAAAGTTCAATAGACAAAATCAAAAAATAAAGTACCCTGTAAACAGAACCAAATCCTCCTGTTCCAAGCTTATTTGCATCAGCAAAATCGTTTGTAGCAGATACTATGCTTCCCCAAACGAAAAATGGGACATCTATGTCTTCAGTATCATCTCCCTTGAGCTTAAATGATTCTGTTTGTTATCATTACTCAGTTTTAGTAACTTAATGGTATGCAGGAATTCAGTTCAGAAGGCATGCATTTTAAAAATATCTACTGGATTACTGACTGCATTGCCTATCCTTAAAACCTGCATGTTTATAATGAGTGCAGCAATTAGGGTGAACTGTATGACTTTCTGACCTTGCTTTTCAGCGATCCTTCTTTCACGCTTACGATAAACAAAGAATACACCACAGAGAGCAATGATTGCCAACGCAACAGCAACGCAAGAAACCACAACCTTGAGAGGAAAAGGCACTTTTTGGACAAAATCAAAACATGGTTAGTATTAACAATGATCATCTCTAAAAATAAAACAGAAATGCTCAAACTTACACTTGTTTTAAGTAAAAAGCCATTGAAAGAGAATTTTAGGATTGAAATATGTGAGAAGAAAATCCGCATCTCACCTCTAGTACATTTCAGCTTTGTACCATCCCAGCGAAAATTTGATCTACACATACACCTCCTTGTATTCCCTTTTGCGGCTTTACAAGTAGTATGATTCCAGGCAACACAATCAGAGGATATATTACAAGTGGGCTCTGAAGGTGGTTCCCAGCCTATATCAACTTCAATAAAAGGCTGTTCGAGCTGAATTAAAGGTTCATCTTTAAAAATGGTGCATTTTTTAAAAAAGAAAGGCAAGGAAAGCTTGGGTGACAGAACGAATGAGTTTATATATTCACTGTCACAACTATTTGCATGCATGACTTGGATGGAAAAGTTTGCTGCATTTGGATCAATTAAGGAGACTCTGAAGGTGCCTGTGGGAGTTGAGAAGTTAACCTGCCCTGTCTTTGAATTGCATTGAAGATAGGAGTATGAGGAATCTCCACAACTCGCTCCATCAGTACTAAGGGGATAAGGGATTATATATGCTCCACAAGGTTTGCAGGCTCTTGAAATAGATCCTGCCACAAGAGTATAAATTATGCCCCTGTACAATTAGTCTCTTCTAATGTTCTAAGCAAAGAGTTTTAAAATCAAAATATCAAATAAAAGTAACAGTTTTGAGTATTTCTATACTTGATAACACATTTTATGTACCACAATTATAGAATAGCATATATTGAAAACCCTGTGTTGTTTTGACGAACTAGCTCAACATCAAATGAGTTGTCAGTTTGTCACAACTAATGACGTTATAATTTGCAACAATATTCAATTAGCAGCAGAAAGTAAACAAACCTAGGTCTGCAGACAGAGTGCGGACAAAGAGAGTAAGCCCCTGAGGATACTCCTCCTGTAAGCGAGGAAATTGAGACCATGTTAAGCAACTCTTCTCGGTAAGAGTGGCCGTTCCTGAGCAATTTGCAACACCAATAGCATAAGCCACACAATTACAGTCCTGAAGGCAATGTGCCTCACAATCTGTTACAGTAGATGCACTACAACCTGTTTCTCTCACTTTCACCATAGGCAATCTCAAAAATGTATCACTGAGACCATCACTCCGCTGACAAGGAGCTCCAGAATTTGGCACACACCCACCAGAAAAGCATCCTGAATTCCATTCAGACAACAAACTAGGTTTAAATCCTGGCAAGCATTTGCAAGGCAACCCACTATTACTATTGCAACTGCCAAAGTTTCCACATACATCATTAAAGCTACACCTATCTTTTGGCTCTTGCCAATCAAGAGACCAGCCGCTTTCGCTTTCCCACTTCCACAGCTGAATCTGTCCAGTGAAGTTCATCACTAATCTTGTATTGTTAGGAAGAGAGGTTTTGCCGTCCCTATTACTTAATAATTCAGACAGCGAGGATGGAATCTTAACAGAAGGGTCAGCTCTGTTGTCCCAATACTCTGGATATCCATCTTCCTGAATTTTGATTTCAGGATCATTTCCTGATTGTAGCAGCAATAGAGAGCTCCCTGGTTTTGGGTCACTGCGATTTTTCCACGATCTTAAGGTTCCATTTAAAATCATCCCGGGAAGAATCGTGTCAGTCAGGTTATGAAAGCTTTGCCACAAGATTGATCCTCCTAGACCACTTGATAATATTAAGTTCCCATTATCATTCAAACACAATTTTGTTAAATTTACAGACGCAACAGAATCAATTGACCAGTAAGTCAAATCATCATTATCCAACACCTCAACCTTACCACCTTTTACTACAACATAGCCATTGTTACCCAAAACAGGATTTTCTCTATTAGCAACCCATACAACTATCCTAGGATTGGAGCGGTAATACCATATACCCAAATACCTGTTTCTGTTGAACCTCTCATCAGGAGTAAAGAATCCAAGCTCAAAAACTTTGGTTGGAGATAGTAAGGTGCTTTGGCTACTATCACTGATTTTAGAGCCATCTGCTAAACAATAACTCGCGCTACAATGAGGTATAAGAAAGGAAAAGAGCAGCATATATAAGAACAACCTAGGACAATTCAGAGACATGATGAATAAAGAGATGTACTTCTGATTAAATCACTTCAATAGGTAAAAAGCAACCATTTGAAGCTGTTGTGAAGGTATTTTAAGCAGCTACGTGGGTTTCAGTAAGAAATCAGAAGGCAGCCATTTAAAAGGTAAGCTACATGGTTTTTTTTGGTTTTATATGTAAGATAATTAGATAAGACACTGATATTATCTCGTATGAGTACTAGACAAGTAGACGACACAATTTTACTCCTTTGCTTATACTGCAATATTGATGCTACAAACTCAGAACAACCAAAGCTTTCAGTATATTGCTGAATTATTCAACAAATCAACAGCCACGTTATTAATGTCAAGATTTGGACTGGAAGACAATTCTACGGTAGGATTTTTACCAATGTGAAAAAAAAATATGGACCCTTCATTTGTCCCACTTACTTAAAATAGATCCTGTTTGAAATTTTATTTAACACCAATCATAAAATCCATAAAAGGGAGGGAAAAAAAGGTGGCTTCAAGTCTACAACATTAAGGCAATACGCAAATATACATAGTAATCTTAATAAACTAACGCTTATTAGAATTTTTTGAAATTAACAGGACCTTTATCTATGAATCTATGATGAATATTTTAGTGGTACTTATCATATATAACATTTTTTTAATCCAAATTCAACCATTTATTTGTAAAAGGATCAGAGCAGTCATTTTTTCAACAAAAAATAAAATTTAGTCATTTCAAGCATTATGTGCACGGTACTCCTAGGCATACGATGTACGAGTATCAATTTTCTTAAATGCTACGGAGTACAAGTAATTTTACCCAGACGGCCAGACCTGAAAAGCACCCCGTCCAGCAAAATGCCCAGTCAATATGCCGCCTAATTCCTATTCAAAATTTGTGCTCCCTAAAAGTCATTTACGATGCTGATTGCTATATTGTTCAATGGCCTACTAGAAAACATGCACCGTACTAAACAAGACTTTATTACTTAACAGGAAGAAAGTGAAGCTGTCCTTTTTCTTCTTTTGTTCATATCGATTCTTGTCAATTCAATTCTTTTCTCTTCAATGACTAAGAGATCATGGACAAAGCTGAGCCAGCTGCATTCAAGAAGAATAGTCTCAACTCTGAAGTTCAAGTAATTAAAACATGAGGAAGTCATTCGAGTAACAAACAAGAGGTTCCTAACCCTTAGATTGGGGGCGTTATCTGTAACATCATGAAATAGTGCAAACTAAGAGATCAACTAAAGAACTACTCAATCATAGAAATCTTCCTTATGGTATCTATACTTATGTATTTAAATGTACAACAATTGTTACCTAGATTCATTTTTATCCAAATATGTTCACGTACTCTTAAAGACAAATAGGAATCATATTTCACGTGCTCCTTCCGTCCTTCAAAGGTTTTTCAAATTCGTATTTGATCCATTGAGTTTACCCCATACCGTCAAACCGATGTTGCTATGTCATATTCACATGGAAAAAACCTACTGATTCCCGACCTACTTGCTTTTATTTGTCCAAACATTATACTTAGAGGAAAAAAACACGTTCAGGGTAATCTCTGGAAGATAAATGGATGGAATACTGCATACAAGTAAATGTAATCTACGGTGTAAAAAAAATTTCCACGTTAACCATGACTTAAGAAACAAGCCAACAAGTCAAAAGAGCTATTAAAGACGATAAACCACTAGTAGCTGGTGGGGTTCTAAAATGGCAAAGCTCATTTACACCAATTAAACAAGTTTTACATGCATTGTCATTTTGTCAATTACCATAATATACAAACAAAATGCAAAGTAATTGCCTAAACAATGGGATATTCAATATAGAATAATGGGAACCTATTAATACGGAAGGAAAAGGAAAATCATCCACAATTCCACACGGCTTGTGGTGGTTTTAGTTTCTGAGCACATATGTCAAAAATGTACCAAAATAGGCCAATATGTCCTAAGACTTTCCACACCAATGAAAGGTACATTCCCATAAAACTGTGGACCTTTTAGCTAGGACCTAATCGATTTTGGTAAAAACAAAATCCGATTCATAAAAATCATTTATAATCAATAATTATCATACTACCTCCGTTTCATATTATTTGTAACAATTTGACATGAAGTAGAGAGAAAAAATGTTTAATAGTTGCAAATAATATGAAACGGAGGTAATACGTTAAAATCAGCAACTCTGTCCGATAAATAATATACTCTTGAAAAAGCAAATATCATTTTTTTGAGTATGAGGAGTAAATTTTGTATTGATTAGCAATTTCAAAATATAAAAAATAAAAAAATGTATCCCATGAGTACAAATCAACTCAATCAAGTAAAAGTAGTTATAAATCATGCTAGTTCAGGTATGATTTTATAGATTACTAATTCAAACTTATTGATCTTAAATATCCAACCTTTTAGCCAAGTTTACTATAGTTAAGAAGTTAGTGATATTGCATTAACATTTGTTGTAAAGTACAAGTATGATACAAGTAAGTTCTTAGTAATAATATTGTGATGTGAAAAATTCACTAAAAACAATATATTTTGGATCAAAAGTATTGTTATATTGTATTGATACATGTTTCTAAAACAGAAATTCTGATTCAAGTATTTCTTCATGCATTTACTACTCTGTATATGCAACCATGTAATCTAAAGTCCTAAAAAAACACACATCATGTAATCTAAAGTCCTCAATTCCTTCTTTAATTAATTAATTTATGTCTTCCAATTCCTAATATCAATTTCTCATACTGCGTAGCACAATACTTGCTCAAGACCGCTCTCATTTTCCCATCAACTAGTGGTATCGAAACTAAGCTGAAAATAACTAAAGACTCTTCAAGTAATCCATCATACATCCAGGTGTACCTAACTTTAATCGCTACAAAACCCTTAGCAAAAATATATCTTCGCAATACCCCCTCTTGATTGCTCCACCCTCCTTTGATTCTTTGACTTCATAAAATTAACCACAATATAAACACCAAATGAAAATTATATTATTCAGCAAAAAATTATCTATTCAATGAAATTAATTATACCTTATACCACCAGTAAGAACAATGAATTTGTAATCGAAATTACCAATGAAGTCACCTTTTGTAGTGATACGTCTGCATCAATTAAAATTCAAACATTACCTTAAAAACAACAAATGTAGCTAAATTCAAACCAAAATAAATGGACAAAATTATGATCAATGTATACCATTCAGGCATTTCATCGAACATGTGGTAGTCATCGTCAATTTTAGCGTATTTCATGAGTATGAGTATCCCCTTCTCTACGACTTGATTTTGAAATTTTTCCACACTCCACAACAGAAACCCCTTTCCCCACTTTTTGTGGAGAAAATGGAAAAGGGAAGAATAATGATAGCACATCATAAAAGTCAAATTTTGGATATTTTGGATTTTTATTTTTTTTTCAAAAAAAAAAAAAAAATACTAGCTTTTTTTTTAAAATAAAAAACCAAAAAACAGAAAATAAGAAAAAGGCGTTTCTACTTTTCTGCAATTTTCATGATTTTAATAAGTTTGACTAATTTTAACTCATTATATGACGTATATCATATGGTTTAGAATAACAAAAAATCACGGTGATAAACGAACCCTTACAATTTGATTTACAGTTTCAAATTGTAGTGCGGTTTGAAATTAATTTGGACTTTTCATGTGTCTAATTTGTAATTTATACTTGTGTTTTAGGCACGGGGCCTTTTTTTTTGGTGTTTACAGAGTCATAGGACGGATGATGAGAATCGGGAAAGAAACTTTATCACTTTTTTTTTTTGCATAGAAAGGAAGCTCTATCACTTTTTTTTTTTTTTTTTGCAACAAGGAAGCTCTATCACTTGAGCTATCCCTCACTCTAGAAAATAAAAGCTTAATTAATGACATAACTGTAAATAAATCAAATTTTTTTTATTAAAAATAGGCTTCAAATAAAAATTGTTGATTTATTTATAATCATGTCATACTAACCGTTTGTCATTTGATTAACAAAATTTGTTTATTAGAAAGATAAACTGGAACTTCCTCAATTCCTCAGTGCTGCAATACGGCCAATACCATACTTGTCAATATAAGAATGGTACATACTACGAATACTCGATTTCACAGTAATCGCAACAATTTGATATTTGCATTATTTATATACATACTTTGAATATACTTGTTTTATTAATATTTCAAAAACTTTGTCTTGTAAAATGTTTCTGATTTATGTAAAATTGAAACAAAAAAGTATACCCAAATTTTTAAATAAATCAGTGTACAATAAATATCATAAATCGGTTGACAAATTATCTTAATAAATTGAAAAAGATTGAAAGTTATTATCCAAAATTGGTTAGAACTTACCCTATATTTGTACAACCGTACACTTAGATTGTTATACACCCGAGAGTGAGGGATAGCTCAAGTGGTTAGAGTTCCCCTCCAAGTTCCAGGTGATCCTAGAATCGATTCTCATCACTCGTTTTTGTGGCTCTCTAAACATCTAAAAAAAATATTGTTAAACACCCGGTGCACACGATAGTTTTTAAAGTAAGAAATGGTTAGGATTAATAGAAATAGATTTGGTTAAAATGCAAGCAATAAAACATTGGCCACAATTCTTTCAATCTATATATCAATCAATCAATTACATACTACTAAAAGTGAATCTGAAGGAACACTTGGCAACATATTATTAAAAAAATTCCCACCAAAATTACTTTATAAAAAAATAGTTATTATATAAAGATAAAGATTGCGTTTAGATTATGACTTTTTTTATATATAATCTAAAATAAACTTCCTAAAATATCAACTTGCACATTATAATTTATAATTATAAATATTTTCTCTCACATGTTTTAATTGTTTTAATATATTTCATGCACTTTAATACCTGATGAATCCATTCATTAATTTTTATATATTTATATTATTATCATAATTATTCAACAACCGTGCAAATGCACGGGGTTTAACCTAGTATATATATATATATATATATATATATATATATATATATATATATATATATATATATATATATATATACTTGTATATAAAAATTAAAAAAAAAACTAAATTATATAAAAAAACGTGTCCTCCTCTCCTTTTATCTTTATTTATAATCTTTTTCTTTTCTCGACTTTGGCAATTTTACTTGTGCAAATGAGGAGTACATTGGCGTATAGTGCCTATATTTTTTATTTGCAAATATGAGGGTAAATTAGTCATTTGACATCCATAAATCCAATTACAATGGTAGTTTTTGTGTACAATTATGCATGTATATTATACTATTAGATTATAGATTGTGTTAGTAGTACTTTTATATCTCACGGTAGTATAATATTTGATGAACAATTTAAATACTTATAATTTGTACCATTAGAAAAACATTTATACCACTACTCATACAATATTTATTACAGTAGTATTATTTACCTATTTGGTAGTACTTTATACTCAATTTAATATTTAATATCCGTTTTTTAATACTTGTTCCACTTTCCTTTTGCAATCGTATTTAAATATTTGCTCCATTTTCTTATTTGAAAAGCTTTTATAATATTTAATCAATTTCTCTCAAACTAGTGGGAACCAATTTTATTACTTTTTGATTCTCTCTTCTCCAATTAACCTTCCATTAATCCCACTATTTCTATATTTTATTACTTTTTTCAATTTCTCATAAAACTCTACACATGAAAAAATAGAGCATGTACATAAAAATGGAAGGAGTATTTGTTTCTAAACAAATGCTGTAGATACTATGCGCCAAGAGTTATTCGAGTTATCCATAATTCCATATTACGGAATATCATACAGTACTTGCTCAGTTATACAATACTTGACTTTAAGCTGGGTGTTAAAAAGTCTGCATAATAAATTAATAATGTTTGAGAATCAGTTCATCAAAAGCTAAAGAACTTCACGAAGTCTTGGACCAAGCCCATATTGCTTCTGCACTTCTGCGCCCATGTATAGGCCCATCAAAAACTAAACCAATACCTTTTTCAGTTTTTTTTTTTTTTAAAAAAAAAAACTAAATTAATACATTAACAAGATGTGCAACACTGATATAGCTATTAGCATAAGATTTTTAGTATTTGTAAACTAGTTCTTTAGTGAACAATCTCCATCAAAGCTTGTATATTAAGCAATTGAAGTCCAAACAAATATTTAAGCTAATGCTCGATTATTAAATGAGCTTTACTAAAAAACATAGGGTTCAATTAGTTAGTGTTCATAAACATCTCATTTACAACTTGGTAATAGCTTGTAATTACATTCCAGTATAATTGTATACTATATTAGGCAGTCCCTAAAAAATTGTCCTATTACCTAAACGGCTAAACTCTTTTTCTTTCAATCTTTCCCGAAAAAAAATAAAAAAAAAATAAAAAAAAATAGTATAAGGATTAAGGACAAAGGTGTACCAAATTATTACAAAGTATAGTGAGGTAGAGAAGTAATTATGTTGCATAATATGGTTTTTTTTTTTTAAAATAAAAAATTAAACCAATCTCATGAAAGCCATAAGAGCAACTCCAACAGCAAGTTAATTGCCAAATTAGCTTGCCATGCCACATAGGATTGCAAAGTTATCCTTCCTTCTAGCTAATTTATGCCACAATGGTTAAGCTAATTAACATTTAGATTTTTCATTTTTATTTTTTAAATAATTAGTATTTTATTAGAGACAATTTATTTTTAAGCTAATTAGCTTAGCTAAGCTAATTTGCTTGGCATTAGCTTGGCCAAGCTAATTATTAAACTATCCTCCAATGGTTTGGCTATTAGCTTGAAAATTATTAAAATTGCAAGCTAGTCCCTAAAAGCAACCATTGGAGTTGCTCTAAGAGCAACTCCAATGGTTAAAAAAAGGGGACTAGCTTGCAAATATTAAAACTCTTAAACTAATAGCTATACCATTGTTGCACATCTTGCTGATTAGCTTTGGCAAGCAAATTAGCTTTGTAGAGCTAATTAGCTTGGTAGATATTTATTAGATAAAAAATATTTTAAATTTAAAAATAAATTAATTTATAACTAGCGTAACCATTGGAGCAACAAATAACTAGAATTGTTGTAGATTAAAAAGATAATTTGGCATAACAAGCTATTATATGAATTAGCCAACCATTGTAGTTGCTCTAAGGTTATCTTCTTCAACAAAACGTTTTAATTACGAGTATTGCATTTGAAGATTTATGCAATTTAGTTTAGGGAAAATAGACCTAACCTTAAGATAAATTTTAAATAGGATAAATTTATGTTGGGGTTAATATTAGCAGACGAGACAAAATTGGGGTTAATGAGGGTAATTTTTCCTATTTAATATTACTGTAGTAATTTTTTTTATCATAACCTCCGTTACATATTATGTGCAAATTTTGAATTTTTTTTAAGCAAGATTCAGTTATAAACTTATAGTCCATAACGATAGTTACCAAAAACAAAAAAAATCTATATTTAAATATAGTTATAATTATTCCCCTCAAAAAATATAGTTATAATTATAATTTAGGAAACCTCTACCAATTGGATGTTGGTGTAGTGGTGATTTAAACACACTTGGTAGGGAGGACCCATGTTCGATTCCCCCGCAACAACAATTGGGAGGGGATTGGAACCTAGCCACCCAAAACTGATCGTAGGCTCTATTATTTTTTTTTTGAAGGGACTGATCGTAGGCTCTATTATTTTTTTTTTTTGAAGGGACTGATCGTAGGCTCTATTTGCTCTATACGAGTTTCTAGAGTTTTTTTTTTTTTTTTTTTTTTTTTTTTTTTTTTTTTTTTTTAGAAAAGCTTCCTAGTATGGCTTGAGGGCGTGACATCACAAAGAGATAAATTAAAGAAACAAAGAAAAAGGGTAAATACGTTCAAGTTCAATTACAATTGACAAAGAATTATAAGTTGACTTGAAATAAAATACTGTAATTCAAAGTGATTAGGAATAGGAAACCGACTTTAATAACCTATATATACTAATATACCCCTCCATTAAACCTAACAAACCTCACTTTTCCTCAATTTCACAACTCTTTTTCTCATTCAAGTTCTTTTACTAAACTCGAAGTCTAATCTTTCTCAGAATAATACCCAGAAATCTCAATGGCTAATCCTACTTCTGATCATGCTCAACCTTCTTCTTCGTATGATTCTTACTTTCCAAATTATATTAATTTTTACTCACTTTTGCTTCAATTTTTTTCTTTTTTTTTGGGGGTTATTTTGTGTTAATTTGATTTTAATTCAATTCGATTCACGAATGTAATTTGTGGGTATTTAATTTTAATAATGTATGAACTAAATTTCTGGGTTTTTTATGTGGGATTTTTTTGTAAAAAACAAAAACTTATGTGAATTTATGCTTTGATTTTGTGTGACCATGATTATGGGAATTATACCAAAAAAAAAAAAAAAAAAAAAAAAAAATCAACATTAAATTTTGCAAGAGAATAATCTGATACTATTTGGAAGTTTATTGTACGAATTCATGTACATGTACATTACTAATTAAAGAACTTCTATATTATACTGTTAGTCTTTCCAAAATTGTTGACTTATTTTTTTGACAGAACCAAAATTGTTGACTTACTTCAAAGTTGAATAATTGGTTAAATTTGTTATACTATCGTCAATTTTATTGGTTCTTTATACACATATTTTTGGTATACTTGTGTGAATTACTATGTTTTTATTTTTGGACTAGCATTAATCTGAGTTCCTCTTAAGTTTATAGTTCAGTTGCTATTAAAAATCTTAAGTAAACATATTATGATCTCCAATGTTTTAATTTGCAAAAGTTGTGTATTTATTAGATTTCAAGTTTTATGACCATTGGATTTTGTTACAGCAAAAATGACAAATACTCTACTGCAATCCTTGAGCGAAAAAAGGCTCCGAATCGTTTGATCGTTGATGAAGCAAACGTTGATGATAACTCATTGGTTTTTATTAACCCTGCTGTCATGGATAAACTCAACTTGTTTCAAGGAGATACAGTGTTAATTAAGGTAATTTTCGGTTGATTATTTGTATGTTGGACTGTTAGTTTCTTGTTATAAAAGGCTAGTTCTGAATTTTTTTAATTTTTTTGGTGCAGGGTAAGGTAAGGAAGAATACAATATGCATTATACAGGGAGATGAAGGGTGTGAAGAATGCAAGATTAGGATGAATAAAGTTGTGAGGGCTAATCTTCGTGTTCGCCTTGGAGATGTTGTTTCTGTCCATGAGATTTCAGATGTAAAATATGGTGAAAAAGTTCATATTTTACCAGTGGATGATACTATTGACGGTGTAACAGGAAGCCTGTTTGATGCTTATTTGAAGCGTAAGTTTACGCAACAATGCACAGAAATCATAGTTATATATCTCTTATGTTGTGTTGTTATTTTAATGGATTTTGACCCTTTTTTTGTTTGTGCTTTAAACAGCTTATTTCATGGATGTTTATCGTCCTGTTAGGAAAGGTGATCTATTCTTAGTCAGGGGAGGAATGCGAAGTGTTGAGTTTAAAGTGGTTGAGACGGTTCCTGCAGAGTACTGTATTGTTTCCCCTGATACCGAGATCTTTTGTGATGGTGAGCCTGTTAGGCGCGAGGATGAGGAGAGACTGAATGAAGTTGGTTATGATGATGTTGGTGGTGTAAGGAAACAAATGGCTCAGATTCGCGAGCTTGTTGAACTTCCTCTTAGACATCCTAAGCTCTTTTCTGCTATCGGTGTTAAACCACCTAAGGGAATTTTGCTGTATGGACCTCCTGGTACTGGTAAAACCCTTATTGCTAAAGCTGTTGCTAATGAAACTGGAGCATTCTTTTTCTTGATTAATGGACCGGAGATCATGTCAAAGATGGCTGGTGAGAGTGAGAGCAATCTGAGGAAGGCATTTGAAGAAGCTGAGAAGAATGCACCTGCTATCATATTCATTGATGAGATTGATTCCATTGCTCCTAAGAGAGACAAGACTAATGGTGAAGTTGAAAGGCGCATTGTTTCTCAACTTCTGACATTGATGGATGGTCTTAAGAGCCGTGCTCATGTTATTGTCATGGGTGCTACTAATCGTCCTAACAGTATTGATCCTGCTCTTAGAAGATTCGGGAGGTTTGATCGTGAGATTGACATTGGAGTTCCTGATCAAGTTGGGAGGCTGGAAGTTCTTCGCATCCATACTAAGAACATGAAACTTGCAGAAGATGTAAGTTTTTTTTTTTTTTTTAACGTATTTCTGACATTGTATTTAGTTACTTTTGAGGTTTGAGTACCGGAGTAGTAAGTTCATTGCGCATCAACTTATATTTTCTTAATTTTTTCAGGTTGATCTTGAAAAAATTTCCAAGGAAACCCATGGCTATGTTGGTGCAGACCTTGCTGCTCTTTGCACAGAAGGAGCTCTTCAGTGTATTAGGGAGAAAATGGATGTCATTGACTTAGAAGACGACACAATTGATGCTGAGGTACTCAACTCTATGGCTGTCACAAACGAGCACTTTCAAGCTGCTCTGCAAGCTTCCAACCCATCAGCCCTGCGTGAAACAGTAAGTTTTGCTTTAAATTTCCTGAAATTATGCTACTTAAACTGACCTTGGAATACTGTCTTGTGAAATTGTGCTCATTCCAGCTTAAATAATCTGTCTGAAATCGTAAAATCTGATCACTAACTTTGGTTGGGACTTGGCAGGTTGTGGAGGTTCCGAATGTTTCATGGGACGATATTGGAGGATTGGAAACTGTCAAAAGAGAGCTTCAAGAGGTATTTTACTCATACAGGATATTGACTTATTGCAATGTCAGATGTTTTCATTTTCTTATTGGGTATTTACACCTTCATGTTTCTATTTGTAGACTGTGCAGTACCCAGTGGAGCACCCGGAAAAGTTTGAGAAGTTTGGAATGTCACCTTCCAAAGGTGTTCTCTTCTATGGTCCTCCTGGTTGTGGTAAAACATTGCTTGCAAAGGCGATTGCTAATGAATGTCAAGCCAATTTCATCAGCGTCAAGGGACCAGAGTTGCTGACCATGTGGTTTGGAGAAAGTGAGGCAAATGTTAGGGAAATTTTTGACAAGGCTCGTCAATCAGCACCTTGTGTTCTATTCTTTGACGAGCTTGACTCCATTGCTACACAGGTGAGGGATTAATGTCCATGGAATTGTTGTTTCGTAGCAGGCTTAATTACATATCAATGATCTCATTTAGCTAATGTTTTTTTTTATGAAAAATTTTCAGCGTGGCAATTCATCTGGAGATGCCGGAGGAGCTGCTGATAGAGTGTTGAACCAATTGTTGACTGAGATGGATGGGATGAACGCGAAGAAAACAGTTTTTGTCATTGGAGCTACAAACAGGCCAGATATTATTGACTCTGCGTTACTTAGACCTGGAAGGCTTGATCAGTTGATCTACATCCCTCTTCCTGATCAAGATTCCCGCCTTCAGATTTTCAAATCTTGTTTGAGGAAATCACCGGTTTCCAAGGATGTTGACCTTGCTGCTCTCGCACAGTATACACATGGTTTCAGTGGTGCAGACATTACCGAAATCTGCCAACGTGCTTGCAAATACGCAATCAGGGAAAATATTGAGAAGGTATGTTGTTTTGTTGAATATATTGTTAAGTCCCCGTCAAAAAAAAACATATTGTTAAGTCACATTCTGTAAACTTTGTATTTGTATGTCACATAGAACGTAGTCAAATTTTTTGTCTTAAGTCTGGCGTAACATGTACAAGTTTGTGAACTAAATTGTATTTTTTTGGCAGGACATTGAGAAGGAAAAGAAGAGAACAGAAAACCTTGACTCGATGGAAGAAGATATAAGTGAAGAGTTGTCCGAGATCAAGGCAGCACACTTCGAAGAGTCAATGAAATATGCACGCAAAAGTGTTAGTGATGCTGACATACGAAAGTATCACTCCTTCGCTCAAACGTTGCAGCAATCTCGCGGAATTGGTTCTGAATTCCGCTTTGCTGCCAATCAGAATTCCGGTAGTACTACCTCTGCTGCTGCCGTAAATGACGACGAAGATGATTTATATTCTTAAACGATAGATTTTTTATCAATAACTAATGTAAGGTTTTAGACATGTAAGAGTAGATTTAAATTTTTTATTTGTTGATAATCTTAATTTTGATTGATTCATATACTACTACACTAGTATGAATTTTTATTTTTGATTGATAGTCTTGTAGTCCCAATTTCGTAATTCAATATATGCTACTCACTACTCAATTATTGTTGGAAGGCCCATAATATCATTACTTGTACCATTTTTTTCCTTTTGAGGAAAATTCATACTATAACCTTAGATTGAAAGTTAGGTTTTGTTTTTTAAAAAAATTATTATAAGGTAGTTATAAATTAAAACCATAGTATGTGTTTGGGTCCAATTTATCTAATTGGGCCTAGTCATTAAATGATTCAATATTCCAAGGTCAAGGTCCAAGCCTCCAATCAAGCCAAGTCAACTATGTGTCAATTGGTCCAAATTGTCATGGTCAGCCCATGAATCAATCCGGCCCAATCAATCTCCTCCTTCTGTCATGCCAAGGTATAAAAGCCTTCAATTCATTCATTTATGCAACACACACAAAAGCCTCAAACATTAAATCTCTTGCATAGCTTTCTCTCTAAATACACTGTTTGACTTCGGCACCGGAGGGGTCTTCCTCGGATCCACCTCCGAGGCCAGTTTACGTGTGTTTTTCCGTGCAGGAAACCTTCGGCCCAGCATCTATTGGACCGGACAAATCTTCATCCACTTCACTGGACCTTCGGCAAGGTCCCATTGTTTTCATCCGAAACAATTTGGCGCCGTCTGTGGGGAAGACTTTCAAAAATCTTTAAGCCAATCAAAATCATCTTGCAATCATCTTAGTAGCAATGGCTAAGAACCGCAAGAACAAAAGCTTACGACAAGGAGCGGGCGAAAGACCTAAAACTCCTACACCATCACCTTCGCCGGACCGGAACTCTTCCAAGGGTGCCAGTTCGGAGGGAGGATCATACCGGGAGGATTCCCTTTCTCCCGTAATTCACAACTCTCATCATAGACCGAGTCCCCCTCGGTCTAACAGAGGTCAGTCCGATCATAGGACTCAATCAGTGCCCCAAAGCCAACATTTGACCATCCACTCTCACTCTCACACTCAGCCGAGGACCCCTTTGACGGGGCCCAGCTCGGAGGAAGTGGCGAGAGCGCTAGCGGTGCTCATGGAGGCAATGAGGGCACAAAATATGCCACCACCTCGTGATCGAACTCCTCGGCATACCAGGCATCAGCGGAGGAAGCTAGACCGTGATGGGGGGAAGCCTCCCTCCTTCCGGGAGCTGGAGGAGTGGGAAGAGGATACTTGGAGAACTAAAAGAGAGAGGAAAAAGAACCCTCAATTTTTCAAAGGATCCTCAACCTCTCGGCCAGAAACGCGTAAGGGCAGCAGCTCAGCCTCTCGGCCGGAATCTGCCCACCGAGAGCGACCTGAGACTGTTCGCCGAAGCGTACTCGACCGACTCGGCGGCAGGGAGCCGAGCGTGCACATCCGCCTCTCGTTCCCTGTAGCCGAGGCCCAAATTTCCCAGCCAGGGACGAAAACCACTCCTACCTCTCTAAAAGGGCAGAGCGCGGTCCCTTCGGCCAGGAACAAAGGCAAGGCCGTTATGCTACCCGCCAGTTCCCCATTCGAGCAATGGATTCTGGAAGAACATGTGCCTACGGTTAAAATACCGTCGCACATTACATATGATGGGACTTCAGATCCGAAGGACCATATCGCCTCCTACGAGGGGCACATGCATCTCTGCCCAAGGTCCGAAGCGACCTGGTGCAAATATTTTCCCACCACTCTCAAGGGGGTCGCGCAAGCGTGGATCTCCAAGGGAGTAAAGGAAGGCTCTATAACGAGGTGGGACGACCTGTCCACCAAGTTCAAGAGCAAATTCTCCACGACAAACCGCCAAGAGAAGACAACTGCTGAGCTCATGGGCCTGCAGCAAGGGGAGACCGAGAGTCTCCGGGACTACTTGACCCGTTTCAGCAACGAGTCATCCAGCGTTTCTCAGCTGGACCAAGGGCTGGCAGTTTTTGCAATGCAGAACGACCTTCAGCCCGAAAAGTTCCTACACTTCATGGTCATGCACACCCCGCAGACCTTGGAGGAAGCTCTGAATGCCTCGGATAAATTCATCCGAGCCGAAGAGTGGAACAAAACAAAGTCCCAACCCCAATCCGGGAGTGGGAAGCAAAAACAACCGTCTGAAGGCCAAGGCCAGAAGACGAAAGGAAAGGCGAAAGCCTCGGAGCAATCTTCGGCCAACGAGCCGAAGAAGGAAAAATTTGCCCCATACACAGGCAGATATGAGTCTTATACTCCGCTGGTCCTTCCGCGCGCCAAGATCTACAGCGTGACGAAGGAAGAGCAGAGATATAGGAAGCCGAGATCACCCCCCGAGTGGTATCAGCGCAAGAATAAAAATCAGTGGTGTGAGTTCCACGAATCATCAGGACACAACACTGAAGAGTGTATCCAGCTGAAGGACCAGATCGAAGACATGGTCCGGAAGGGATACTTGAAAAAATACATCGCGGATCACCGCGAGAAAAAAGAGGCCGAAAATTCAGAAAAAGACTCTCGGGAGGACCTTGACTCCCCCGGAAGAACAGTAAAAATGCGGAGGGAAAATTCCCTCCAATCAATGTTATCTCGGGAGGAGTATGTTCTCGGAGGGAACACAAGCGACACCTTAGGGCTCTGACCCACCAGGTGAACAACGCTAGCATGCAACCTCCTCAGTCGCCGGTGCCGAACATGACGTTCACAGACGCCGACTGTCGGGGGGTAACGTTCCCTCATGAGGACCCATTGGTGATCATCGCCACGGTGGCCAACCACGACGTCAGCAAAGTTCTAATTGACGGTGGTAGCGGAGCAAATATTTTGTTCCGAAAGGCCTATAATCAAATCAAGCTGAAGCCTAAGCACTTCACGCCGGTATCCTACCCAGTATCCGGATTCAATGGGACTTCAACTTATCCTGATGGGAAGGTTCTGCTTCCTGTCACCATCGGCTGCGATGAAGCAGCTAGGAACGTCATGACTGAATTTTTGGTCATCGACGCTCCTTCAGTGTACAACGTGATCTTGGGGAGACCTATAATTCACGAGATCCAAGGGGTCGTCTCAATATATCATCAGCTGATGATCTACGTTTCAGACGCCGGCTTCCCCGAAAGGATCCAGGGCAGCTTAAAGGAGGCCCGAAGGTGCAACTACCTCAAGCCATCCACTAGTCGCCCAGATGACGACGATGAGGATGAGGAGGAGAAAGAAAAAGAAACAGAGCTGAGTACCAAAAAGCCGAAAGGTCTAAGTGCTTCGGCCCAAGGTTCTGTGCCTAGAGAAAAAGGGCCAGAAAAAGAAAGGGCTGGCTCTTCATCTGAGCCGAAAGACTCAGGGAGCCAGCCGAAGAAGAAAAAGTCTGGGACGCCTACTGACATAGACAGCAGGCCAGATTATGAAGAGTCTAGCCCATCAACAATGGACCTGGACCAGCAGACTGAAACGGTTGAGCTGACCGAAGGAGACGCTAAGAAATGTGTAACAATCGGGATGGACCTTGATCCGAGCACCCATTGTGAACTTATTCAACTCCTTCGGGACAACAGATCTACTTCGTCAGTCACACTCTGACGGATGCCGAGACTCGCTACCCTCCACTCGAGAAAGTCGCCTTTGTAGTAGTGGTAGCTGCTCGGAAGCGGAGGCCCTATTTTGATTGCCATCAGATAGTGGTCTTAACTGATTAGCCGCTGGAAAAAGTTCTTGATAAAGTTGAAAAATCTGGTAGGCTGGCCAAGTGGGCTTTCGAGCTCACTGAATTCAGCATCAGCTACCAGCCGAGAGCAGCCATCAAGGCTCAAGCTCTGGCGGACTTCTTGGCCGAATGCTCGTACCAAGAGACTCTAGACGACGAAAAGAAAATCTGGACCGTGCTTACGGATGGATCCTCCACTGTAAATGGTTCGGGGGCAGGGGTGGTGATAATCGCTGGCCTAGAATTGTGCATCTCCCTGGAAGCCGAACATGTCTGCCTAAAGACAGACTCTCAGCTAGTTGTCTATCAGATCGGTGGCAGCTAGGAGGCTATCTTGCCAAGATCAAATCAGTCATTGCAAAGCTGAGAACTTTTGAAGTTCAGCTGATCCCAAGGGTTCAGAATGCTCAAGGCGATGCACTCTCCAAACTTGTCAGTTCAACTCTAACAGAGCTGAACAGATCTGTATAGGTGGAAGTGCGCCGAGAAAGAAGTGTCGACGAAGCACCTGAAGTGTGCTGCGCTGACCCAGAGCCCAGCTGGATGGATCCTATCCTAGCTTTCAAGCTTCGGGGAGAAATTCCCGAAGATAGAATTTTGGCCTCCAAGCTGAAGAGAACCAGCTCGAGGTTCATCGTCTTCAGAGGGGAGCTTCTGAAAAAGTCCTTCTCAGCGCTATTGCTGAAATGCGTGGGACCAACAGATGCAGATTACATCCTTCGGGAGATTCACCTCGGCATCTGTGGGAACCACATCGGGGGAAGGACCATATCCCACAAGGCATTGAGGGCCGAATATTACTGGTCCACCATGATCTCAGATGCTAAGAAGCTGGTCCGAAAATGTGAAAAATGTCAAAAATTTGCACCAGTCATCCATCAGCCAGCTTGAAACCTTCAGCCGATCCTTAATCCACTCCCATTTGCCCAATGGGGGCTGGATATTTTGGGACCCTTTCCAGATGCACCTTACCAAGAAAGATGGTTAATAGTCGGCATCGACTATTTCAGCAAGTGGATTAAGGGTGAAGCAGCTTCGAGTATCACAGAACAAACTGTTAGGAAATTTATCTGGCAGAACATTATTACCCGCTTCGGTATTCCGAAGGTCTTTGTCTTCGATCATGGGAGGCAATTTGATCATCCACAAAGTAATGGCCAAGCCGAAGCTGCAAATAAACAAATCCTCAACGCTTTGAAGAAAAGGGTTGAAGATCAAAAGTCCAAGTGGATAGAGGAGCTCCCAGGAACCCTCTAGTCGCTTCGGACGACTGAAAAAAGAGGCAACGGGCTATTCACCTTTTGAGCTGGTGTATGGTGCCAAAGCCGTTCTTCCAGTGGAAATCGGCTCTGAAAGTTTACGAGTGCACCACTACTCGGCTGAGAATGAGCAACTTATGAAGGAATCTCTCGATTTCCTCGATGAAGTAAGGGACTCAGCCCGAGACAGAATGGCTGCTTATAAGCAGAGAATCAGCAAATTTTACAACCGAAGGGTCCAGGCAAGGCCTCTCAAAATTGGAGACCTTGTCCTTCGGAATGCTGCTGCAGTTCAGAAAGGCCGAATCCATGGGAAACTCTCATCTGCATGGGAGGGACCCTATGAAATCTATGATGGGCTTCAGCCAGGGACATACCGACTTAGTCAGTTAGATGGAACTGAGCTGAAAAATCACTAGAATGTTGATGTACTTAAAAAATATCATGTGTAAACCCTTTGGGGCAGAACAATCTTTGTAAGTACATTTTGAATCATTAGTGAGAGGCCTCAGAGCCACCATTTCTATAATTATTTGCAACTTTCTATTCTTTCAAGTTTTCTTTATTCTATCTACTCTTTAAGGGTTTTTATTCAGCCTCGTCTGAAACCTTTGCCTTAGGGTAACTGGGTTTCAGATTGCTGACAAACTCGTCTTTTGAACTCTGGTCTTTCAGCTGAAGTCAAACTTCAGTAAGACTTGTTCTCCAAGGACATGAGTCCATGGACAAATCTGGGATATTGCCTTAACTGAGCCTTGTATCCCAGAAAGCCATTATCCGAAACATTGCCTTCAATTGGCCTTGTGTTTCGGATATCCATTTCAAAAGATAGACAGAAAATCAAGGATAACAGCAGCTGTTAGAAATCTTTTATTCAGCTCTGTCTGAAAGTTAAAGAAACAATACCCAACACAGCAATCCAAAGACTTGAGTCTTCAGATTTCTGGGGGGGCAAGAGGCACTATCAGTGCAGGTTTATCTTTAGCAGAATTCTTCAAGCCGAAAGCTTTGTACTTAGCAAGTTTTTGCTAAATTTCTCAAGTTCAGAAACAGTAAAGCATTCAAGACAAGACAAAGCAATTGAAGAAAAAGTATCAGATTGATGAAATCACGCTCATATAACGAGCCCCAAAGTTTAAGTGTTCAAATAAACTAAAAGATTATATCGACAGCCGCCCACAAGCGGAAAATAACAGCTGCCGAAATGCGTACAAAGGCAAAAAGAAATAGTTTGTACACTGAGGCAAGCTGAAGCAAAAACAGGAAAAAAACAGTCAGAAAACGACATCTTTCATTCTAAGAGCACGTTGATCCGCAAGATTCTGAAGACGACTGCCCGAATCCCTAGGCTTCAGCTGGAGGGTCTGGCATCCCTATGGGGGTGGAATCCAGCGCGGCATCAGCCCCAGCTGCAGAGGAAGCAGGTCGAACTGAAGCCTGGACTTCAGCTCCCTTCACCTCAGCCTCTTTCAGCTCAGCTTCCCTCATCTCAGCATCCTCGGCCTGGAGGCGAGCCAACAAGTCAATTTCAGCCTGACTAGCTTGCTACATATGAGGATCCGCGGGGTCTTCAACCCAGATTTCACACTGATACCAATCCAAGCCAGGCGCAGCATGAAGAGCCAGTCTCCGAGCTACCCCATAACCGTTGAGGTAGGCAGTCGAGTACTCCTCCCGGGTGTAAACCCTGAGGGCTAGCTAGGCCTCAGCATCGGCCAGCTTCTTCTGCACTTCCTCCATGGCTTTCTGGGAAGACTCTCGTTGTCTTTCCAACTGGGCCTCGGCATCAGCAAGCCGCTGCTCAGTCTGCTCAGCCCGGGCTTGGGCCTGGGAGAAGCGCTCTTCCTGACTCTTCAGCTGAACCTCCAGACCGGTAATGCTTTGCCGTTGAGACTCCAGCTGAATCCTAGCCTCAATCAGCTCCTTCTCCCTCACTTTGCAGGCCTCAAGGTGCTGTTTGACGTTACCCTCCAAGATCTTGATCTTCTCCCGAGATATCTCGTCTCGGGCCAGCACTTGAGATTTGACCTCAATGTCAATTTTTTGCTGGATCTTGGCCTTGAGGCTGGGAACATCAACCGCGCCGAATGCGTTGAGCAAGGCTTCACCTTCATCTATTTGAGGCAGAATGTCCCGCTCCATTTCAGCGTAGAAGGTGTCAAAGGAGTCAATCACAACTTGAGCTCTGTGCTCGGCTTTCTCTTGCTTCAGCTGGGCAAGCTTTGCCTCTGTTTCAGAAATGTCCACCTTTTCCTGGAGTGTGTCAATCATCTCACAGGTCATGGTGTGGTTGTAGACAACCTGCAGCACCAAAATTAAATCTAAGTCAAATAAAAGTGACGGGATAAATTGGGGACGCTGAAAGTGCAGAATATAGTCGCATACCTGCATCAGCAGCTTCTGGTTGTCTCGGGCAGGATTTGGTACTGAGGGACCAGGTTCGGCTATTCCAGCAGTGGCCCGAACAGACCATTCTCGGACTTGCTCCATTTCAGATAAGTCGGAGCACCCGCCAAAATAAGCCTCAGCGCTTCTCTTGTGCTTACCCCAAATCTCGGCCCTAACGCCAGCAGGGATAGAACACTTCTTGGCTGAGAACCCCATATCCACAGATTGGAAGGATTTGAAAGAGGAGAACGAAGTTGACGGAACTTCATCAGCTTTCTCGGGCTCAGTCGTTTCCCCTCCTTCAGTCTGGTCCCCTCCAGCCTGGACCTCTTCAGCCCCGCCGAGAGGTTGACGCATCAAGGCGTCAACCTCCCGCTGGATCTCTTCAGTGAAGCCCCTAGGGTCCCCGGCTTCAGCAGTAGCCGCCTCCTCGGCTACTTCAACAATCTCAATCTCAGGGAGTCAGCAGCGCTCCCCCTGTTGGAAACCCCTTCAGGAACCCCCGCCTTCGGATCAGGAGTCCGTTGGTCCACCTCCATGTCAGCAGCTGGAGGAGTCTTCGGCGGCGACGGGATCGGCGGCGGTGGCTGAACCGGAGGCGGAGGACCCCCTGTACTTCTCGGAACCCTGCCCAGTCCAGTAGGCGGTTCCCTTATTACTACGCCGGGCCTCGGCCCCAACGTAAACTCTCCCGGACCCGTAACAGTTGGGCCCGTCCTTCTCCTCTTCCTCTGTTCCAGAGGTTGATCGTCCATATCGTCAGAGTCTGAAGTTTCTAACTTTGAAAGGTCGTCTGACAATGATGGGCTCTTTCCTTCTCTCCTTCTGTCCTCTCCCTCAGACTGTAGAAGTGGGGGAGCAAGAAGGGATCAGTAAAAAAAAAAATAATTGCTGAAAGACTTACCAATGTCTTCGGCTGGGCCTCGGCAGCTCTAGAGGTCACCTCACCACTCTCTAGGGAGTTGATGGCCCTAGTCACCTCTCTGGCAGCCTGAGCGGCGAGTATTTCTTCGGCGAGCAAAGGCCTCAAAGGATCCCACTTTTCCCACCAAGGCTTCTGCTTGGTGTAATCGGCGGCAGCCTCGATCTGAAGGCCCGTTTCGTGCAGATGCAACAGACGGTTCTTCGGAGCCATGATCGCCGGAGCCCGATCTAGAATGACTCGTTCGGCGTTCACCCCAAGCCGATTATAGTCAATACCCGAGGTAGCTTCGCTCAGCTCTGAAAAGAACAGATGAAGGTTAGACTGAGGGAATAAGTATAAAAAATAAGCAGAAAATTAAACAAGTCAAAGTCCTCGGCCCCAGCCGAACATACTTACCATCCCTGTACTTTCGGTTGAGGCCGACAACTGCCAACATCTTCTCTTGGAAGACGTTATGGTTATCTGGAAGCCATCTGGCCGGGATAAATCTCATTCGGCCAACTCCCCCAGGGTTATTCTGCTTCCCGAAGAAGCTCATTTGCTCGTAGCTGGGGTGACGAGCGGCATCAGGGTCTTCAGGGCCCAGATCCTGCATGTTCGGATCAGGCCTGGAGAGGTATCGGGGAGCTCCGAAAAAATAAGGGTGCTCCGGATCAGCGGGAACTCTCACCCAGACCCATTGACCTCTCCAATCCTTATCCGAAGAATCGTTCGGCCACATAGTTAGATATTGGGGGCGGCTCTCTATTCGCCACCAGCCTGAAGACCCATATTGGTCGTACACGCTCTGGATGTTCTGCACTAGCTGATGCATCCTTTGGAAGAAGTGCAAATTCGGCTCAACGGCAAAAAACCGGCACACCCAGAGATAAGTCATCACCCGCCGAATACTAACGGGTGTTAATTGGCACAGGGAAATCCTGTACTTTATTAAAATATCCCTGACGAAGGGATCCAGGGGGGAACCGAAGCCCATACTGCAATTGCCGAGTGTATACCCCTATATATCCAGGAGGGAGGCGGTGAATCCTGTCAGTCGGCGAGGGCATTCGGCACCAATGCCCATCCTCTTCGAAAATGTCGTAGTGCAACTCAATTTGCTCGGCGAACCGGTAGGTTTCGGCATGCCGAACCCACCAAGAGTAAGGAGTATTTCTCACCATGGCGTCCAGAGCCTCGGCGTCTTGCCATTCAGCATGCCCAGGGAGCAGGTCCTAAAGCACAGGGGGCAAATCTTCAGCCTGCCCAGCCCGTTCTCTCTGTTCAGGCTGCTCCGCCTCGCCGGCCCCGGCGTCCTACTGAGGTGGCGCGACATTCAAAGGAACGGCCGGAATTCCCCTCTCCGGGTCTTCCCCGACTCGTTCCCCGTTCCAAACATTGGCGCGGTCACGGGGATCCCCAGCCTGGCCCCGTCGACCTGGTTGACGCCCTCTTCCTCGAGCCATAACCAAATTCGAAGAAGAAAGGTGGGAAAAGGAGGAGTTCTCTCAAAAAAGGCAAGAAAACCAAAAAAACTCGAAGAAATTTACCTTCAAATAGGCCGAAATGCGCCGGTCAAGTCGGTGGAAGTGACGGATTTGGGTGTCGAACTCAGATTCGGGGATATTGCGCTAAAAATTCGAAGCGAAAGTGGGTTTATGTGAGAATTCGAGTGTAAGTTGGTGAAGAAGTGAGGCGAAAATGCGAATCAGACCTTATAATTCCAGGAAGGAGAATCTCAAAGGTCGAAAAGTTTAAACTTCTCTTAAATGCCTCCTTAATTAACCGTTAAACACTTTCTCACTTGGTTAACTGCCCACTATCCACTCCATTTCCCATTAATTATCCAAATTACAGTTATTTAATTAATAACTGTTCAAAAATTTAAATCTTTTGATTTTGATTTAATTAAATCATTTGCTTCCCTCCATTTTTATTGGATTCAAACCCGACCAGTCATCCTTCCAAATCGGGTCTGGGGGGCAAGTTGTTTGGGTCCAATTTATCTAATTGGGCCTAGTCATTAAATGATTCAATATTCCAAGGTCAAGGCCCAAGCCTCCAATCAAGCCAAGTCAACTATGTGTCAATTGGTCCAAATTGTCATGGTCAGCCCATGACTCAATCCGGCCCAATCAATCTCCTCCTTTTGTCATGCCAAGGTATAAAAGCCTTCAATTCATTCATTTATGCAACACACACAAAAGCCTCAAGCATTAAATCTCTTGCATAGCTTTCTCTCTAAATACACTGTTTGACTTCGGCATCGGAGGGGTCTTCCTCGGATCCACCCCCGAGGCCAGTTTATGTGTGTTTTGCCGTGCAGGAAACCTTCGACCCAGCATCTATTGGACCGGACAAGTCTTCATCCACTTCACTGGAACTTCGGCAAGGTCTCATTGTTTTCATCCGAAACAGTATGGAAAAAAAAAACCAAAAGACAAAAAAAAAACAGCTATTGGTACATCAATGAGAATGGACGAATTCATGTTAACGGTTTCCTCTGAAAAAAGGGTATTTTTTTACAATTTTAGTGTTAGGTTTGTTGACATTGTTAACCATAAACAATCATTCACAAGAAATTTCTTTCTCCAGCATAATGAAATCAGCTTTCCTAATTAGCAAAATAAGTTAGCACACTTTCAAGAAAATAAATATTCATGCACAAAACAATACTAAAGTGATAATTCCTATGTTAAACCAACTAATTAAAAGATAATTTTATTGTTTTTTTTTTTTAAATATAGTTTTATTAGCTCGAATAAGTTTCAATCTTTGTATCCCAAAAATATAAGGTGGAGAACGATACCACTAAGTCGCTACTCATCCGCTTCAAGCTCAACTAGCTAGCTAAATGGCAATATGGAGAAAGAACTCTTGTGCAATCAAAGGCGTACCTTATAGGGGGGTTTGATGTGAATTGGCATTCGATGTTACAAACTTACAATACCTTTACAATACAATGGGCTACTTTAATGTAGATAGTTTGGTATAATAGTGCTAGACTGCTAGTTCTACTTTGGATGGTTACTGGGCCCATAAAACTTTATACCATGTGTACTTTACTTTTGAATCAATGCTACTTCAAAGTCCTTAATGCTAACACAAATGCACATTACTACTCGTACTATGTTACATGAGAAAATAGACAATTTAATTGCATGTGGATATTCTGAAAATCCAGATAAATTGATTTTTGGAGCTTTTTTTTTTTTTTTTCCCTTTATCCTCTTCCTTTTTTTTAGGATTTTTTTTTTTTTTTAAAAAAATTGACATTCATGTATGTATGGTAGCAAAGCTGTGGACCTTTTTTTATTTTTTATTTTTTATTTATGATTTATACTTCGTATATTTATATTATAGCACTAGATATGTTTTTGCTTTAGATGATGGCACCCATATATGGGCATACATGCAATAATTTAAGTGGTGACATTGTAAATAATACTTAGCTTCTTGGTGCTTTTTTTTCTCTCTTTTCTAGAGTTTAAACGACGCATATTATTGTTCAATATAATGAATGTTACTTATAAGTTATATTATAACTATGAACCAAAAAGCCGAATAAATGTTCAATACTTGTGTCGGGTACTCAAATTCAAAATTATGCTCATTACTTGGACACTAGGCTATAAAAAAACTCAAAAGAGATCAAATTTCTCGGCCCTTTTTTACTATTTGTATAGAAATTTCAACATTAATTTCATGCATGTGAACTTGCATGAAATAATTTCAGTACTTTAAGGTCAATTTTTTTCTTTTTCTTTTGGTCATGTATGAAATTGCATGGCAACAGCTTTTAATTAAAAGTTCCAATCTTCGCTGTCAAATTTAACAAAAGGTAAGTTAAAAAGCATCCAAATTAGAATTGGTAGTTTGTAAAGCTTGTATAAACTTCATAATCATTCTATCTTTTAAAATCTTATCATTTATAATAAAGACCTTAACTTTTTAATTTATTTCTAATCACGTGACTTGACTACCATGCATGTGATATCACTTGTAAACTTGCAAGTCCCTGACCTTGTGATCTAAATTTGGAATCTATATTTGTTTCCTTTTATTTTGTTAAATCTCTTAATTAAAATGGATTAATTACTATAATTAGGGATTGTTTTAGTCGTTTAATTATGATTATCTATAGATCTAAAGATATCTCATGTGGGTCCTAGAGTGTAGTTTGGGCCTTGGGGTCACTTGCATGTGCAGGCACGTGAGGACTAAGGAGCTAAACCATTTATAGTTGAGTGGCAGATATTGCATTGCTACTCTTTAATTAAGTACTTAATATCCTAGTTGACATCGATTAACTACGTTAATTAAAGGTAATTAGAAAGGTTTAAAGGGTCAATGCTCAATTGGCCATCTGTTTATCATATTATATCGAGTCAAGTGTCAAGTCCTCGTATAGCAATATCGCCAATATGTAATATCCTATGCGCGCAATGCTTGT